TCATTTTCAATATAAGTATATACGGAATGGATTGCGAAAATTTGCCTGAAATCCAAACAAAAAATACTTTAATTGAAAGTATTTTGGTTGAAATTGTTATACCATTTGTATGTCATTATGAAATTATGGACAGTACCAAGTTGCATACAATATCCGTGTTGAAAGAAACACATATTCCTATGTAAGGATGATATGTAGGTTCTACTTGTAATATATATGCCCCAGGCTTTATTAACTTGGATATAAATGAGATATTAGTCATGCTGGTTTATATCTTGTATAATATTAACATTATAACGTATTGCTTCAGTTTATATTATGTTGCTAATTGACCAAGGAAATTGATCTATACAAAATACTTAGTTATAAGCATTAAATATTATACAATAATTACATATAAATGTTTTTTTTTTTTAAATATAATTTGGTTATGGTCAATATTTACGTATTGTTCTAAATGCTTTTCAATATATTCTTTTTCAATATATCATCTGTGGGAATCCAATATGTCATTGTTATTATAGGTACATAATGGCTATTGTTTTCTTAAATAGAAATACTTAGAAAATATCTTTTGAACTTATATTGGAAGCTTGAATAATTGCACTAATTAGGTCTACCTACGCAATAACGCTTGCGGCCACTACATTGCTTAATTAGCCTAATGACTTATTAGTTCGCACGTTATACTTGTAAAAGGATATTCCAATTATAGCGAAATACCCTTATAATATTGTTACCATTACTTTACAACTTATGTTCGTTTTGTCTTCTTCTACTTCTACCTGGCAATTTCCCAGCTTTGGGCAGGGTCTGCCTCACATGTTGTGAATAGTTTTGGCTAATTGTTTTTACGACCGGCCGCCTGCCTGACATCAACCTTCTTTGGGAATGCATTAATCAAAGATGTTTAAATACTCTTAGAAAGTACATATGACTCGGAAAAATCACATTGGTACTTGCCAAGATCGAACCCGCGCCCTCATGCATGAGAGGCGGACCTCTTAACCACTAGGCCACCGCTGACTTCCAGGCCAGCTTACGTTCGTTTTGTACGTCCATCAAAATGATTTTTGGATAGAACTTAAAGGACAGCTTTCATTTAAGAAATATATCAGTGAAGTGGCAATTCGTAATAATGACGTTTATAAAACTTTTAAAATTATATAAATTTAATAAATTGTTTTAAAAATAATAGAATATTTTCAGCAATGTAAATGTATTAGGTGGGATATATTATTAAAAGTAGTTGATGTGAAAATAACCCCAATTTTCGACTTTAATTTGCAAAAAAAATTGATGTTGCAAAGATAAAATATATTTCACGATTAAAAGTATAAATGTGACGCTAACAAAGGAAATAAAGTAATATTCTTCAGAATATTATGTATATTATTCAATATTTATGTTGTTGTTAATTTTTGTATTTGTTGAGGTTACATTTATTTTAAGAATACTTAATATTGCACCACCCTATACTGTCTTCCAAACGCAATTTTTCTAACCCAAGGTACTCTGGAAGAAATGGCTAATAAGCCATAAGGCCGCCTTTGTTTCACCGTTAGTTTTTAGTTGGTATTTTTTGTAATTGTTTGTTTTGTAATTATGGTGTACAAAAAGAGTTAAATAAATAAATGTTATCCCTTTCCTTATTTAGCAGAATTATAATAAAATAAATATTAAACCAGTGTTTTTCAAACTGTGGGTCGCGACCTTAGGGGGGTCGCGAAGACTTACTCGGGGGATCTCCGGAAAAAAAAGGTAAACTTCTACACTACAATAAAAATCACATTTTAATGAGAAGGATAGGCTTGTTTATTTTTTAAAAGCATGTCAAATCGTGGTGCTATTTTTGAAATATTATACCTAATATAACTTGTAATTGAAGTTTATTTCTCCTATTTTGTTTTGATGTCCACCATGGCAGAGAATTTAACTTTAATATATCTTTAGACTTTTAATTTAAGAAATTCCTTGCCAGTCTATGGCACAAGGGGGTCGCCAAAATTTTTCGACCCGTAAAGGGGGTCGCGATATCAAAAAGTTTTAAAACACTGTATTAAACTATTGCAGAACTATTTCGGGAGTAACAACCTTAATTCAATCTATATTCTCAAATATGATCCTACTCATTTGGGGCTATTTCTGCAAATTCTTCTTGAAGTTTCTGCTTCTACGATAAGTACTTATTTAAGATAATGTATGCCTTAACAATACCTGCACAATATTTATTTAGACACTTTAAATTTCTCCTAAAATTATTCGCACACTATTAGACGGGTTGGTCGTAGCCCAGTTTTGAGACCAACTCAATATATTATTGAAAAAATGATTTTGAACCGTTAATATTATTATATATATGATGTATTAAAGTTTTTTCGAGAACATTATCTACAAAATTTGTTATATTGATGAACCATTACAATTAAATTTATTGCCTTATAAATTTTTCATAAATATTCCGACGTCCACGGAGCTGGAGGGAATCAACCACATTAAACACCATGTAACCTTGGAAAACATGTTATGCTAAACAAATATCACGAACGAAAAAACGAGTGTCTTCTAATATTAGTTTTATTGATACATTGGGATTCAATTGGAAATTATTTACCCCTAAATGTGTATATTAAACTCACCTACAAGTACGTATCATTCTTGCAATACAATCTATGGCTTATGTGTCATTATTTGGATAGAAATTTGTTAAGGAAAAGAAGATTCATCAATGTAGCTATTAACATCATTGAATAGAGACATCGCTATGATTTTCACTCACAATGGAATTTTCTTTGCATCACGATCAATTCCTGACTGCATATTAATACTATAACCTATTCCAAGACTAAGAATTTGAATAATACGATCGTATAATATGGCTATTTGTTGAGACCGGTTCATTTTTACAGATACATATAAGTATTCAACTAAGCAAGTCAGTATAATCGAGGTAAAAAAATAAAGCCATGTTCAGACTAACGCTTCAAATATACTTGTATACCCTGTTCAATTAAAATTGTTGACAAAATCATCACTTATTTGGATACAATTATATTTTTAAATTCAAAACAGTTTTCAGTAATTTTTTTTCTTATTTCCTGGGATTAATTTGTTATAATTTATGTTAGACAAATTGAGAAGGCAATAAAAAATCATAAAAGTAAAAATCCATTATGCAACAGTATTTCCGATAAGATCTTTATCTAATATGTGAAATTTAAAATAATCTTGTTGAACGAACTTTGTCCTACTTTCCTAGTACCTGATACTGTTCTTAACAGAATTGAATATGAATTTTGAACTTTCTAATCAGAATGAAAACTGCTCTTATTAGAACTTATTGAAGATATCTCTTTGAAATTTTAAGTAAAAATGATTCCAAATATAAAAAAAATAAGGGAAACTACTTCTTTGCTTATATGTTCGGACATAAAAATATAAGAATAAGGCCATACAAGGTTTATAAAAAGATATAAATAGGTCCTTATCACAGCAGTCTCTGCATTTATTTCCTTGTAATTTATAATTCCATCAATATTTGTAGTCTATAGGATTAAGTGAGAATCCCACCTTCATTTTTGCTACTGAGTTCCATCATTCCACTTTAGTTATTTATAATATTTTAAATTATAAGGAAGTGACCCAAAAATATCCTTGGGTGATAAGCTGCGAATGATAGATTTGTATTTCATGCAGAAAGACATGCAGTACATATGGGCGGAGCAACTGTAGTCAGTTAGTCACTGTACCGTGAAATCCATGCTTTGGTAATCACCAATCCAAGTAAAGTAAAACCTTTGCTAAGTATATGTAAATAAAACAATAGATATAGGAATAATTTATAATTCTTCTAGTCTATCATGAATTATTTGCAGAAACAATCCGACACAAAATCTTGTTATTCTATTGCAAAACCATCATTGTGTAAAATATAAAAATAGTTTGCAGTACATTTATACAATTACATATTAATTATAATGTGTTGATATCAAACATTATGTTATTTCAGAATCGTGTCATAATATAAGACGCTTCCTTTTTCCTCAAACTAATAAAGCAAGCTATTGAAAATGATGCTCCGGTGCTTGTATTAAACGTTTAATTAATGACACAATAATGTCGAGGTGGCCTCTGCATGCTAACTAGTAAACCTCGGAGGTCAAGTCTACAATATAATACCATATGACTGACCACATTTGAAACTAACTATATGTAACATAACTCTTTATATACATCCAATAATCTATTCATTATATATAACATAAAATTGAAAGCTTATCATATTAAACATCATATAATATGTGTGATTAGGCTGCTCCTAAAACAGTATTTCTAGTAACAAATGATCAAATCTAAGTAGTTGATATTTATGAGTAAAAATAAACGAGAACGCGATCGTTTGACGTCGTTAGGTTAGTTGATACATAACAGGTTAGACTAGTTAACTTAAGATAGAGCAAAGAAACAGTTTTAGCACTACTGTCGGATATTTTTAAATTTTTGCAATAATTGCGATATTTTTTTTTCATTAGTGGGTCTCGTATGATAGAAGCACATCAGGGAAAGTAGCAATGGAACGTGCATTTATTATTTTTAAGCACAATTTAATGGCACTTCTATTTCCCAGATTTCTCCATTACTGATACTTAAAGTTGCATAAACTTTCAAAGGTTCCAGTCAGATGATTGTTTATGAAGGACGGTAAAAGCTTTCAATGTCATAGAAAATAGATTTTCCAACTTCACAAAGACGTAAAAAATAGTAAAAAAAAGTTTTTATTTACACTTAATGACTATATAATAAAACTTTTTTGTAAGAGCTAGACTCTATTTTAATATCGCTGGCGTTTGATTACGCAAGTAGAAATTTTATGTGAACTGGTTAAGACGACATAAGTAGGTAGTTATTTGATTAAATACGAATAAAACTTTGATTATAGCACGAAGAGAAACGTTTATGATAACTTTACTATATATTTAATATTGTAATAGGTGACGTACGTGGATCATCGCACGTAGTGCAGGAGATGAACGCGCTGGGGCGGCGGCGACGGCGCAGGCGCTGGCGCAGCGGCCTGCTCGGGTACAGTTGAGCTACGGACGCAGAACGAAAGTCCGATGCAAGATCGACTGCGCATACGTAAATATCGGCACATTTACAAGCGAAAGGGTTCACCAGAGCGGCGCACTAACGCGTTGCGCGGGAACCAGTCCGGTGAGATTCCTTCGACGTCCGATAGAATAATGTCGAATGAACTTCAGGTCCATCGCTTGACGTGAGTGTCTGATGCGCGACGCGGTCGCCACTCGACTGCGGCCCTCCGCTCGCCGCCACTCTGTTGGTATATTTATGGCTTAATTATTGAACTCGTCTCTATAACAATTATGAGGCAGTGAGGCAAGTGGCAATCGCTGAAGTCTGGCCGAGGACGTACACCGATGGCGCTACCGCGTCTGAGATCTACCGTTGCGGGCTGTGACGCAATGTGGATCCTCTGCTCAGTCGTTCTGTCCGTAGCCACCAGGTTTTGCTTAAGTAATCCCTAAGAAGTTGTCATTTTTCAAAAAATGGTGTTTTGATGAATATAAATATGGAAATCCGTAACCTATTTTAGACTATTTCTTTGACGGGAGGGTATACAAAGATTTCAAAGCGATCATAGTTACTTAACGTTTGTTTTTTAAGTGATATCATATTTTGTACATTTTCTAATAAGTTCGAAAGTTCCTTAAAACCATCTACATTAAGTAGATTTTATATAAACTTTTTTAAAAAATCCAATAAGAATTATTTGCTTGTTTAGTATCAGAAACAAAATACGACCGACACCAGGCATAACTAAACTTTCATATAAATGAACTTCCTCAGTACTATGTTCTCTGGTTAGTGTTAAACTGTTAACACTTACGTATTTCTGTACACATAGTTTGATAGTTTTCCAGTGGTATATTTCAATTTTATTCAATTACTTATACTAGATACAGGCTTTATTAACCTGAATTCAATGCGTTTAAAAATATACAAAAGTCAGCTGTGACTTTTAATTATGCACATATGCGAATTGTCATTCTTCCTTATGTCACCCTTAAATACAAATTAGATATCACCCAAAAAATAAACATGTTATCTTCTATAAAATAGTGCGCAATTCAATGAAATCGAACAAAACCTTCTAGTTCTTTTAAAATGTATAGCAAAGTCAAAATACGGTAATACAAATACTTTAAAATACATTTTAATTTAATGTCCAACAGAAGTCTCATGGGAAATAATATGTTTTTAGATGTGGTCGCCTAATAGGAATTATAAGTAGAAATTTAAGTTCTGCTGAAATATCTACTGCTTTAAGACCCTTCTACTTTAGTGTTCACCCTGATCTTTTTGGGAAGTACCCAGAACAAAGAGTAAGTAATTGAAAAGTAAAATAAAAAAATCCTTTAGCTGCATATATGTATTATTTTAGATTTCTTATAATTGCATGAATTCTTAATGGGTTCAGAACAAAAATTATAAACTATTTATCGTCAACATTTAACTAGTCTGAATAAAAACTCTTGCTTGAGTATCCATTATTATTTTTTAGAAAACAAATGAACATTCACTTCAACAATTAAGTGCTTTGTTGGAAGCACAGCAATCTAGTCGTAATATGACAATACCAACACTACCATTTTATTTACGTCAAAAGGATATGCCCGAAGGTATGTTATATAACAATATTATATTCATTTAAATATCATAGCTAAATATAATTGTTTCTTTTAAGGTAACTTCAAACTAGTTAACATTAATCTTAATAGTAAAAATGTTAGAGAAACTGTTGTGAAGATTTTAAATGCTTGTGATATATCAACTAATTATGTAGACAAAATACCAAGGAGCATACCCAAATCTATTAACAGGTAATATCATATAAGAGTACATGATAAAATGCAAAATTATAATAAGTATAGTGCAATAATAAGAATTATTATTTTAAATATTTGTTATGATTTTAGGGATATAGATTTCACACAGGCTTATAAAGAATATGATACGGAATTTGAAAAGACTGTACGAATGAAAAGAAAAGTGGAGGAAAAGAAAGCTATAACTAACATAATGTATGTTAATTTATAAAATATATAAATTAAACATATGTGTGTTATTAAAATGTTATAATTTTTAGTGACTGGATATCTGATAATAGTTCGCATGGCAGAGAAAAGTATGAATTGACAAGTGCAACACGAGAACAAGTGAAATCTCTTATAAATGAGCTCTGCAATATGTATGGTATAAAAGAAGTTGGTAAAGCATATTCTTTTAAATAACTTTTTACTCTATATACTTTGGTTGTTTCGTCATATTTTTATTTCTATGAATTTCAGGTAAAGTATGACAGTGGTTGGAATATCAGTCACATTAGAGGTGCCTTGCAGAGTCTAGTGTCTATGGCCTCACAACATTCAATGCACATGAAGAATTTGAAAGGTTTTCAATATAATTATATTTATACTTTAATTTTATTATGTATATGAATGCACATCTAAGAAGGCCATATGCAATGGCATCTACCCATGTTTAAATTTTGTTTATATTAAAAAACATAACATAATACATTCCCTTAACTATATGTTACCTTAACTTCTCCTTAATAAATCTTAATTTTACAGGTAGAACTATTGCATTGGGACAATTCACAGGTGTCAGTTTGGACGGTGATGTTTTTCTCAATATAATTGATGTTAGAAATGAATGGCTATCGGTACGTTCAATTTAATACAATTCTTTTGTTATTTACATGATACTAAAATTTATTTATTCCTTTAAGCTTATCAAAAAAGTTAGTCAAGAAGATGGTGCCTTAACTGAAATTCCGAATTATGAGAAAGCTTTATCTAGTATTTTAAGAGATATTCACATATGTAGAAGGTAATTAGTTTTTATTTCATATACTGTCAATGTTTTATATAACTATAATTGTTCAAAAATGCTTTCAGAAAGTTTATGCCCAAAGTATCGGCAGCCCAATACTGTAGTCATCTACGTCAATTGATCACATCCATTGGGGATTTCTATGGGAGTGGCAAGAAATTTCCGGAATCTGTGCCAGAGTCACTCAGCAAATATGAAATCGTAGTAGAGCCGTATGTATATAAATTACATATAAACAACTGGAACACAATATTATGGAGGTTGTAGGTTTGAATTCTGCTTGAGGTAGTACACATACATATCTGTTTGAATTTTAATTTAACATTTTGCCCAACATTGCTGAAATTGTAAAAGTCATATTATAGGACTATATTAAGTACTCTTTATAGCGAACTTCAAGGGACTGAGTATTTTTTGTCGTTATAGATAGTTATCGTTATATGAAGTGAATAAAAAACAAACAAATTAACAAGAATTTTGAATAATATGTATGTCTTAAAATATCTTAGATAATAAATGTTTATAAATTATTGTTTACACATAAAGGCTGATAACTTTGACTGACGTTTTTTTGATATGCCAGTACATACTAGTTTTGTATTATTTTATGTATTCTATTCATATGTAGATAGGTGATGAAATCGTCTTGATTAAACAACAAACGTTTTACTACCAACTTAGCGACATCTAGGGCTTGTGGAATTACCGAATACCGATAATAAATATTTTGTCTAAAAATATGAACAGATTTCTTTGTAATAGAAATTACGTATCGCTATAAAGAGTGTTTCAATATATGTATAGGTTTTAACGCAAACCAACCAATTTGGGCTCAGTTCAACGTTACAGAGAGTTTATTGTTATAAAGGATGACGTTATAAGAGTTTACACTGTAGTTCACACATATGTGTGACATCTTGAGAATGCATATTTATGTCTTAATAAGTTTAATTAACAGCAAGCAACTACGTTGAATTATTTCAGTGAAGCTGGTCCATTGATGGTGTCCCCCACTGGCCAGTTCATCACCCCATCATCGTGCCCAGCCGATGAACTCATAGCATTCATCACTCATCATTTAGATGAGGCCACTTTGTTACTTACTGAATACAGCATGTGAGTTACAAAACCTTCATTAAATATTTTCTATCTATGCAGTCTATTTTTAAGACCCGTGTAATAACTAATAAGCTATTTAAATGAAACTAATATTTTTCGAGTGTACGACGGGATTTTATTTTTTATCAAAAACTACATGCTCCCGACGTTTCGGTTACTTTGCAGTAACGGTGATCACAGGCCATCTCGTCTGCCTGTCTAAAAAATAAAATCGCACAGTACATCCGAAAAATATTATTTTATAAATGACATATTTGTAATTGTAGGAAGAATATAAAGCCAACTATCATTAAAATTCTCAATAATACTTTTATTTACAATTGTATACTCTATGAATTTAACAAGTTTCTCGCTAAGCTTTAAACTGTTCGTGAGATAAAATTTTGCAAGAAAAATATACGAATAATTTAAATTATAATTTTCAGCAATAAACACGTTGAGAAGAAGCTATGTAAAGAGGTCAAGGAACGTTTTGGTCTCATAGATTTAAACAAAGACGACAGCATCACTCCTGGGCTTATGATTATGTGTTGTCAGAGACTTCTCACGAGAATAGATAAACTTGATACGGTAAATGATTAACAATTTAGTTTAATAATAAACATAATGTTTTAAATACATTCAGCTTATGTTTAAACAAAAAAAAACTGCAGCTTAATTGAAAAACTGAACTGATATATACATATGTATAATAACCACAAAAATTACTATTTTATTTAAAAATGTTATATTTTTTTAATTTCAGAAATTAAAAGGGAACATTCTGTATGTGACACATTACTACTCAGTTTTGTCCGAGGGTGTGTTATGCATACCATGGAATTTCAAATGAATAAAAATTTATAAATAGCGTAAAAGCTCATTTAATGAAATCTTAAAAAATATAAAATATTTACATTATGATATCAGTTATTTGTTATAACAAATCATTACAGGTTTTTTTAGCGATATCTATACAAATGTGATGTAATTTAAGACAATGAAAATGATCTTGTAACGCTCGAATTAAAATATATAATCAGTCCATTTGTCTTTTATTAATAACATCTTCATACTTATTGCTATTTTTGTGACATTTAAAACATATTTTGTGCCAAATCAATCTACCAGTGAGCAAAAATCACAAGATCAAAATTGTAGCGATATCTAACATTCTTATATTAAAATATTTAATTTAAAATACTTATACATATAAAAATTATTTGCAATTTTATAACATTACTCTTCGTTCTATTTAATTAAAATTGTAAACAACCTTTGAGAAGTTGAGATCATTGCTGAAACAAAAATCTATTAAGCCAGTAAATTTACCTAAAAATGCTAAGAATTTGTAATTTGAGTATTCAATCTATTTGAGTTTTGAATATAACTCTAGGAAAATTATTAATACAGTTAACATATGTATGTATTACATTGGCAAATCAAATAGAAATTATAATTCAATTTGCCAATATAATCTGTATCAGCACCAAGTGAATTTCCATTAATAAACATTTTAATATATGTTGTGCTCATACTATTTCATCACTCAAAGATTAATTTTTTTTTGATTCGGTAGTTCATAAAAAGTCGCATAAACTATTACTTGTATCAATAAATAAATAATAAGAACAAAAAATATATTGAGCGGTATAAATAAAAAAATCTCCCAATATCATTTCTTCTTGTTCTGTTGTATTATCACAAGTTTGTTCTTTTCCTTTGTCACTTTAGCTATGGGAAGGTTAGTTGCTGGCATTAATTGTCTCAGATTCTGACTTGGAATCACTGGAGGAGCCTGGAAATTATTTATTAAACAGATATAATAAAATATAGATAGAAAAACTAAGATCTTATAAAATTTTTATTTGTATAAATAAAAATCAATTACCATAAAGTTTTTTTTTTTACCAACAACTCCAAAATAATTCCTATAAGGCTAAATTACTAAACAATTGTTTTTTAACTGTTTAAAGAATGAAGTTTGTGTGGAAGAATGTCATGAACAATTGTATAAGTTGTAAATACCTACATATAATTTATGATTTTATTTTATTCAATAATGTTATGGAAAGATATTGTGACGTGTAATGAATTTTAAACAAACCTTTAAACTTAGAATTTATATTTATGTGGTTAGGGGACGTTCAAATATTACGTAAGCAGATTTATTACAATTATTTACCCCCCCATCGCCCTTGTCAGCAAAAGTAAGCAAAGCTCTTACCCCATCCCCCCATGTTTACGAAAACATTTTCAATTACTCTATTTTTTTTTTCACATAAGTCCAGAAAAAAATTATAATTGTATTTTTTTATGGATCTACTCGATGTGACGATTAAAAATTAATAACTACCGATGACGTAATCGATACCTAGACTCCCCTACCCCCCATGTCATCCAAAATAATGAAATCAAAGACCCCCCTCCCTCCATAGTGCTTACGTAATACTTGAACGGCCCCTAAGATTAAGTATTAAAATGAATGTTTGAAGAATAAACTAGTAAGCTCCCAAAGGATTATGAAATTTATATGTACATCTTATGATGCAAATGTATGTTTGTTTTAACTCACGGGTGGATTCCTGGCCAGTTGTCTAACACGATCTACAAGTCTGAGGGCGTCATCAGAGGTTTCTGAATCGGTGGTCAGGCCGAAGGAAAGGGCTCGGTCAGCATTACAACCATCAAAGAAACTGAAATATTATTATTGTCTATTAATAAATATTTAATATAATGATATAGTAAGTCCAGTAATTAGTGAGGAATATAGTAGACAGGACACCAAACTAACATTCTACAATTAAGTATTAGAGAAACTTTGTTATAGAAAAATGGATAGATGTTAATTGAGCTATTCAAAAATAGATGGCGTTGTTCAATCAACAATAAGCAAATAACAATCTTTATCATGATTTACCAGCAAAAAATAGAATAGAATAGAATATACTTTATTGTACACCACAAACAGTAAATTTTACAAGAAAAAAATAAAATAAATTGAAATGTACAAAAAGGCGGTCTTATCGCTAAGTAGCGATTTCTGCCAGACAACCTTCGATTTGGGGAAATTGTGCAGCGAAAAGGTAGGTATTGCCTTATCCTTATATATACAGTAATACATATATAAATAGATAAAATATTAATTATTATATAATTCTTTATAGATTATTATAGTGATTATATATATACCGCGTGTGTTGAACAGGTTTATATCTGTGTGCATGTCTCCATGCAGCAGCGGCTCGACCACGCCACACGGCAGCCTCTTCAGCAGCAGCTGCTGCACCCGCCTCTAATGCAGCACAAGCACCTCGGAGGTCAACGACCTGGTGGATAACATATAAACTATTAACATCAACAATTTTAGTTTGACCTGTGGAATTAGTGGAATTTTTTTATTATGCAAACATTTAAATAATGATAATTTATTGCTTGAGAAAATTTTTGAGTAGTCAGGACAATTTTAAGTTTATTGTGCTTATGCTAGGATATAATAGCTTTTAATATTTAGGTACTCTCAATTTTAAACATTCAAGAACAAAATTTATGTTTAGTTTAGACTGCAAATTATATATTGATACAATTTTTAGCTTTCAAGAATTACTTTGTGGAATTATAATACATATTTCTTATATATATTTAGATTAGATTTAGTGAAATGAAAGCAATAATTTACCTTTTGAAAATATCTATATAATAATGTCTTCATTTCATCATGTGACAACTTATCTAGCCTAGCCATTAGCATTTGCTCCCCTCTGCTTCTTGAGTCCTTATTGTCTTGTGAATCTGACAGAGAGGCCGAGGGTGATTTCCCGCATATCAAATTGTTTTTATACTCTATAGCTGTGTCTATCGCTTCTATAGCCTCTTCACATTCTAGTAACTTACGTTCCTAAAACAAATATATATTTTATACTCTATGTCTTTTATTTTACAACTTTAAATTGCTTGTTCAACTTACCTCGGAATCTGATAATGATTTATATATTTTTCTTTTATGGCCCAAACTGCAGCGCTGTTCGTGTAAACATTCTCTTGTTTTTCGTAAATTCTTTATCTCCTTCCTTAGAAGGAGTTCCTTATCTTTTGATAATTCCAAGTTAGCCAGATCGTTAGTCTTTTCTTTTAAGATGCTATCCAATTGAGTGATTCTGTTAGTGAAATGTTTGATCGAATGCGATTTTTTATCTTTCACGTCAACCGAAGATTCTGAAAGTTCGTCTAATTTCAACTTGTCTTTCATTAATTCGACGTCCAAAGTGTTTTTACGTTTCTCGTCTTTCTTTATTTGTCTTTTTATTTGGTCTATTTGTTTTTTGTATGTTTTTAAATTATTCTCATGTCTTTTTATTTCCTTTATAGTGTCTAGATCTACGAGGCCTGATTCTAGTTTATCCATATACGGTTTGTTCCCACTGTTATGAGATACGGCTTTCGATAGATCATCTATCAATCTCTGCTTTGATATACAAATGTTTATTAATTCTTTCAACTGTGTCTGACTGCTGCTTATTTCTTTTGATAACTTCCTTGCCAGTATTTGTTTTTGCGTGTACTTCTCTTTCGTGATTTTGTATTTTTTACATATTTCGCTAGTCTTTGGGGAGTCGATCATTTTGAGCAGTTCCCTTTCTATTAACTTAGGCTCGGGATCAATATCTTTTTTGTGAGATTCTATTAATATTTTCTGAGATTCTGGTGATATGGCTTTAGCTGCCACCTTTCTTAACAATTCTAATTGTGCCCCTGAAATGCTCTCCCCTGGTTGAATGGTTCTTCGTCTTCCTGAGTTAGACTGTGATGTCATGACTGGCAGTGACAAGGAGCCACTTGTCTCCGATATGGTTATGTCATCAGAATCAATATGATTCAAGTACTCCTCACATCTATCAGCATATAGCTGATCATTCTTCTCCCTAAAGTATTCCATTAATTTTTCCAGTTTGTCCTGGAAGACTGTTTCCGAATTGCTGTCTTCGGAATCCGATTCATCATCTGATTCGCTTGGCTCACTAGGTTCAGTATCCTCGGCTATCCTCGGTAAACCCTGTTTCATATTTGTCTCTTTATTGTCTGTTACTATATCATTATTCAAGCACTCATCACATTCAGCCTTCAAGAACAACCATTCGCTGACTTGATTCATATCTGTTTCCGATATTGATTTTGATTGTAATATTCTATTAAATAATCCTTCAGCATTAGACACTAGCTTTATCCATTGAGCTGTAGCAAATTGCAAATTAAATGCATTGTCCGTTTGGACGGGATTCTTATCTGCATATACAGGAGTATTATTGTCAGCAAACAAGTTAACGGTAACAAAGTTTTTAATGCCTCGACAGCATAAGCATAGGTTTAAAATCTTGAGTGTGTCTTGATATTCATCAGGCTCGGTGCTAATACAACCGATAACCCAAGTGAAAGCTCTCCCACCAAATGAATCTCTTAACATGGCTGTTAATATACAGCTATCATAATTAATTTGCTTTGGAGGGTTTCCAGCTATTAGTTCCTTGATTATATTTTCTAATGCATATAGCCCAGGCTCTGGGTATGCTGCTAAGTCACAGAAACTGGCAGTGGACATTCTATGGTTCAGAACCCCATTTGTTCCCACCCATTTTTGCTCCATACTTACGGTAAACACTGTATGATTGTTCCCGAGACATTTTTGACGCCAACCTAATTGTAAATATTGGAAGGCTTCTTCAACATTTGTACATCTTACTAAACCAGCTCCTAATACATCAAAAATCTTATTATTGACGACTTGCATCCAAGTAATGTGCAAGATGTACTCTCTCTCAGGCATCTGACCCAGTCTATGGAATATTTCAGATAAAAATCTCGGGACAACACCTTGGTCACATTCACTGTGAATAACTTCAAAACCTGAAAGTTTATGTAATACTTTTAGTTTATAATTTAATCATTATAAAACAGTATGAAACTAAAAGTCTTATATCTAATATGTAAGTTACTATATTATTTTGTGGGTTTGAAATACTCACCAGGTCCAAATAATGTATATGTTTTTCCAGATTTAGGTTGACCAAATACAACAACAGATGTATCACAACCATCTAAGAAACAGTTTATCTGAGGTATCATAAATGAGTTGAAAAGATGGGCCTGCGTACAGTCTACTGGCAATGCTCTATTTACATGAAAAGTTTGACCACTCTCTGTGATTACAATCTGGGTTACAGGATTACTAAAAATACATTGAAGAGAATCCGCAATACTGGGAGGCTTTAGCCGAATAGCTATTTGAACAGGAATATCCATCTTAAGCTATTGTTTAGAATCCAACAATACTAAATCTTCCTAGAATCCTTGTAACTTCTAATCATTGTGTTTACCACTTATTACGATACCACATACGTGATGATATGTGATTATCATTAACATTGAATTATCACAAGTTTATCTACTTATATTAACATTTTATAGAAAATGGTTATATTTTAATTGACAAAAATAACACATTTAACTAGTAGAAATAAAAATAAATACATAACACATCAACCGTCAAAAGTCAAAACTATTAACAGGCTAGTAAAATACAGATAGTAATAAAAAATAGCACAAAGAAACAAAAATATTAAACAACTTAGTAATAGTTTTTTTTGTAATTTTATAACTTTGTAATATATTAATTGAAATATTTCTAATTCTTTATTTTAATTTATATTTACAATATCTCTTTTGGGGTTTTAAGTTCTTGACAGTTCTAATGTGACAATGTCAATGTCATTTTGATCAATTTGACATTTTTAATTAGCATTCGAGATTCAGATCTCAGCACGATTATTCAGATTTCAGCTTCAGATTCGGAAGTTGACCTTTTTAATTTTCATTTCAATTCCCGAGTGTAAATTCTGAAATACGAGTTTTAATTCAATTAACTTATAACAACGTTGACTCATGCGAACCATTTATTTACTTAATCGGGATTTTACAAACATTTTAATTGTGTATTGTTATTATATTACAATTTTGTGATTATTGTACATCATTTATATTATTACTAAATTATAAGCAGGAATTAAATTGTAACCTGTGTTGCTGGCTGTCTAAATCAGCTTTAAAATATGGAAACCGAAAAGATTGGAGATGTTTATGAAAATGATGAACCTCCGAAATATGGCCTTAAGCTTCTCTTAAATCATGAATTTCCTTTAAAAAGTAAACAACTCCTTATACCTAGGCCCAAACAAATTTTTGAAATGATGCCCCTCACCGCAAGGTAAGTGAACAATTCAATATTGTATGTATATTTTTTATAGTGTCTTATCTTTTAAAACTGTTACATATTGCAGATATTTTAAATACTACCTGGAAAGAAAATTTCAAAGAAGACGGCCCATAATGGATTATATTCATATGATCTCAGCTCAGCGTATGTATGGTGAGTCTGAAGAAAACATAATATTTTATTGATAATATTTATACTCTTAATTCCTTCTTTTTCATAATAATTTAAATTTTGTTAAAAGGTTGTCCTATTGGTGGCATTGGTGGTGGCACAATTGGCAGGGGATTTAAAGGGGAATTCTGTAGATTCCAACTTTATCCTGGCGTTTATGAATATGTCACAGTGCCTGAATGCCAATTCATTGTCAATATTAGAGATGCCAAGAAAGAAACCATTTTTCAATCTGTTCTATCTACTTACAGGTGAGTTTTTTCTCATTTCTTTTGCTTTATGGTGTTATTTTACTAATCTGGCTTCCATAGTAAAATATTTTTGGTTGATTGTCAGACTAGGGTTATTTGTCAACCTTATTGTCTTGTTACATGATTATATAAACAAATGTTATTTACTTTAATAATTGAGTGTAAAATTACACTTTCTAATAATGATAGTAACTTATTTAGAGTAAAATATTGTTACATACTGAATTTCTTTATTATTTCATGTAATTAATAGTATATTTATCTTCAGCAAACCAAAGAAAGTACTTCCATCATGGGAATGGAATATAAAGGGTGCAGATTGTGAATACACAGCTTTATATCCAAGAGCGTGGACTAGCTATGACTTAACTAAGTATGGTATCAAATTGATATGTCGACAGATTTCACCTGTAATACCTCACAATTATAAGGTACAATAAAATGTTGATAAGAACTTATCTTTTATGGTTCCATATAAAAATCATATATGGAAAAGAAGACTTTGATTTATAAAAACTCTATTTAAGGCTATAAACAAAAGAAGTGGATTAAATTTTTAATCTCAATTTTTCACAAAAAAAAAATAGGTTATATACAATTTGTGTTACATTTATTAATAGCGTTTGTTGATTTTTAACTAATATCTAAAGATTTTACTAGAATTTTTATATTTTATTTATTCATATACCAAGTAGAATTAATTGTTAAATATTTTTTAGGACAGTAGCTTGCCCTGCGCTGTGTTTGTGTTCTCCGCTAAAAATATCAGCAATGAACCAAGAGACGTCAGTATAACTTTCACATGGACAGAATGTTTGGGTGAATCAAAAAAGAAAGGTGGAAGTGAGTTAACAATTTATTAACATTTTAATATTAAAAGATATTTTTTATTAGCTCCTAGACTTGAAGATAATGTTTTTTCAATACAATAATACTTTTTAATGAAATTGGTTATATGAAATAATTGCAACTGGGTTTTTTACACATAATTTTTGTTTATAAATGTAATAGATATATTTTATTGCACTTTAAGAAAACAATTGCGAAGTAAAAAGAATTTATAATGACTATAAAAATAACAAAGGATTCATAATAATAAATATTTATTATCATTTATATAACATAAGAATTATATTTTATTACTCAATAAGGTAAAATCTTTGATTGTTTCATATTTTTATCATACGATTGTTTCATGTTTTAACTACAAATGTCATGAGCTGTAAAACTTATTTTCGTATGTCCTTGTAAAGAAAATGAGATGCGAAAAAAAAATGTTTTTGTGTAAAATAATTGGCATCGTATCAAAGTACAGTCGTGATAAATAACATTTCTAGATTTACAAAGTTAATATTATCTAATTGGTTTGCTTGAGTTGTCTATTGTTTTCGTTGTGTGTAATCGATTGTAGCGCTTATGCTAATGTGATTAGAGTACACAATTAGTATTATTAACTTTTAGTTAATTCCGATATTTCGTTGCGATTACAATTCGTTTCACAGGTGTTTGATAACACAACTTTGAAGGAATTTATCTAAATTCATATGATTATGAACATTCATCAAGATTTACTTGTATTTGATTAATTGTTGGCAAGTTCTTATGTCACAATAGTCGAAATATTTTTTGTATTGTAATCGCCGTTTCTTTTTTTATTTATTTACAAAATTTGTAAAAAAAACTACTCACTAAACTTAAAAAAAAATGTACGTATTAAAGTAATCTACATATAAATTATATAAATAAAATTATATAGTTCGATAGTAAAACTAGCTTATGGATGACAATTAAATGTTTTAATAATTCCTTCTTAAGACATAATATAACGAAAATAAAATATTTAGCTAACTTCACTTACATAATTTAAATTTAAAACATTTTTTTAAATCACCTTACTGTCGTGTCGTTATTTTTTTCTATGCATAAAAAAGTTTTTACTTCAACATTTTTACATAAAAACGTTTGAGACTTCAAAAAAGTACAGACGGAGTTACTTTATCACTTATTGATTAATATTATTTTATCTTCAATTAATATATTTTAATATTTTCTCAGGTAAATTGGATTTAGAAAGATATTCAGCTGAAAATACCTGCGGTGTTACATTAGAGCAGAAAATAGCTGACACGCCGTGTACATTCACCATAGCCAAAAACAAACCGGAAAATGAGACCATACACGAAGGGTATTGTCTATGGAACTCTACCAAAACATCCGGTTATGTCTGGGAATGCTTAAAGAAACATGGCCGGCTTGAACCAGATCCTAGCCAGACCCCGCCGCCGCCGAAAGTAGATAAGACTGACAAAGAAAGCAAGGAGGAAAAGGAAAAAACTAAGAAGATATACAAGAGTGAGCATTTATGTCATACATATAGTAATTGCCGCCAAAATCTGAGTGTTCCATATTTGAATTGCGCTAGCGAATGATGTGGGATAAAAAATAGTGAATTAAAAACGCGAAACTTCTTGTGGAAATGAAAATACATATTAAGAGTTAGATGTAAATTTTTGGTCAACTGTTATTATTTCTTTAGGACAAACTTTATGGAAATGATTGCAATACATAACTGACCCACCCCTTCACTTACTAACTCTCCGTCTCTGTCTATTCCCCCTCCAGTAACGTTGAACGTTTAACGCAACCTTATTGAAAGTCGCATAGAAATTTCACATTAAAAAATATCGAACTGTAGAGTATACTTTCATTCATTCCTACATTTAATTTTTCATTCATTCATTCATTTTCATTCCGCGAATGTTTCTTCAACAATCCGATCATATTCCAGATGATTCCATAGCACTATCAAGCAATATTTCCTTGGACCCGGGCGGCAGCGGTTCCACTGAATTCTGTCTCGTATGGGACATGCCCGTCATTAAATACAAAAAAGATAGTAAAGTCCACAAAAGGTAAAAGAATATATGAATGAAACGTATTAAAATATATATTTTTAATGAATTATGTTTTCAGGTATTATACTAAATATTTTGGTAGCGATGGTATAGCTGGTGCAAGTATAGCTGCGTATGCGCTTAGGTATTATAAGAGGTGGGAGAAGCAACTCGCAGAGTGGCAGGACCCTATATTAAATAATAGGTAAATGCTTTACATATATACAGGGTGACTGGTGAATTACTATCAATATTTAAGGACGTGGTAGTTGACGATCATATATGACAAAATAAAAATTAATATAACATAAATATTAATAAACTTCTAAGTAAAGTTAACCAAAAGTTATGTAATTAATTACGGATCGCGTGGATACCCTAGCTGCGTTATCGACACAAAACAGTTATGTACGTAGGTATATGTAGTTATCGCGCGGTAGTTTACCTACATCCAAACGCCGCGCGCCGCCGCGTGTTAGACCTTAGATAAACAAAAATGATCCAATTCCCTTCATACTTTAATCCTGGCTTAGGACAGGCAAAAATACCAAGATATTTCTTTCGTTTAAGCAACCAATTTATTGACTAGGTAAATGGTGTGACCTTGACACGAAAAATAATATGAACTGTTTACCTATCTTGGTATTTCCGGCGTATTTAAAAATGGAATCATTCTTATTTACAACAATTGTCAATCATTAAACTACCTATTTACCTACATAACTACACTAACCTTAACAAATGTTCAAAGCGAGCTCCTTCTCGTGTGATACACAGTTCGGCACGTTTACACATATTGTCTTTCACACGATTTAATACGAATGGGTCACTTTTAATAGTTTCGAAAGCACTATTGATTTTTAATTTCAACTCCTCTCTGTTGACATACATTGTAGCATACACAAGACGTTTCCTTGGGCATGTGTTGGAACACGGAACTGTCCGAAGTCTCGTAATCTTTGATTAGCGTTTAAGATGACGCTGGCCGTAGGTACTCGACGATTGGGGAACATCTCCCGGTACAAATTGATTGCGCCCGGCAAGCTATCATTTGCACGCGCATACGCATGAACCATGTCCAAGTATTCTGCATTTGTGTATTGAAAAGCCATATTTAATTACTAATAAGTAATAACGGGTCACACGCACACACGACAGATTATTATTAGGTATACGCGTAAGATCGATCGCTAGGCGCGCGCGCGGGAAGACGAACGTACGGACCTTACGGCGGCGCTCGCGCGACTAATAGCCGACTAATGGCCCGCTAGCCACGGGGCGGGGGTTGGGGAGTAGCGACACACTGGCGCCGGCAAGGTTGAGTACGTGTCCAAACTTTATTTATTTATACGGAAATTTGGTCAAAAATTAAGTACCTATTTTTTTTGCATAATTCGAATGAGAATCATGTACCGAGTATTCTCCTTAAATATTGATAGTAATTCACCAGTCACCCTGTATATATATATTATTAATTTCACAATTATTAGTTTGAAATCACCAACCCGTCTTGAGCAAGCGTGGTGATTAATGCTCAAACCTTTTCAATGTGAGAAGAGGACTTTGCTCAGCAGTGGGCTCTGATAGGCTGAAAAAAAATAATTATATATTATAGTTATATAACACGTTTGTATGTATATCTATTTGTTTGTATTAAATACAAAAGTGATCTTAATAACATTTTATTTTCTTTGCCTAAATATTAATTTATATGCATTAGTGTTTATATAACGAATTTATGTGATTATTAAAACAAAAATTCAATTCTTTTTGTGATCATTTTTATACCTTAGATATATTTATGTCTTAACACAAGTTTTCAGTGGCCATACATTGTTAGAAAACAGTGAGACTATCCGTGTTTAGTTAGAAGATAATTACTAGTGCTAAGAGTTTTCCTTTATAATATATATATAGTCCAGTCATTTAAGCTTAAATTAGGTAAGAATCTCGGAATTCGAGATACCCAGTTGTAAGTCTGTAAATAGTTGTATATTGACACCCTAAAAGTTGTCTCAAAACCTACATATGGTAGAGTGTAAGCAACTATAAAATTTTTATGGTCAAAGGTCACAAAAATCGGTTTTTTGCGCTTTTTTTGGAAATATCTCATTTCCTATGGGTTTTTTGCTATTTGTATTTATTATCAATATTGTAGAATACTAAATTCTCTACAAATTTTGTTTCAAAAAAATTTTTTATACGGTGTACCGTTTTCGAGATAGAGGGCGGAGAGCGCGCGGTCACCGCATCACTTCAGGTCAACCAGTGCCTCCGGTCGAAAACGCGCCATATATAGTTGATGAACTATCAATAAATCAATGATCATCCAGTTTGTCTAGAAATGTTGAAAAAAAAAAATTGAGTAATCCATACATCCTTCTACGTTGGAGTAGGATACATCTCGAGAAGTGATTTGCTGTATTAACTCATCCAACGTACCATCTTCAATCTTCATGTCTTCAAATATGATCTTTGATAATGCAAGTCGCACCAATATATGGCCTCTGATGCTTCCTGAGTAAGCGTGACCGTTCAGCATCTTGTCAACAGAATTTGGTGCGTATATTTTATTAGCCAGAGCTTCCTTAAGGCCACTTCCATCCATTATGTATCCTATGCTTCCAAGAAAAGACATGAGCATATGGAATCCTCCTAATTTCACAACGACTTTACATAAGTTTGAGCTAGAATCTGACGCAGCTACCATTTCACGTGCTTTAGAGTAGAGGGGTTGATCAAAAGTAATTACACACGTTTTTTGTCCGTGTGACTTGGCAATATCGAGAGCGCAAAGTAAAGTTGCGTAAATTGTGTTGACATTACTGGCAGGATGATACATAAAAGGAAGAAACATAACCTGAGATGTTGAAAATTTTTTTTCATTTTTAGTGAGCTGCTCAAGATAACCGTTCCACTCTGGCAACGGTGCAATATCCCTCCATTTTCCGTATAACCACAAAAGTGATGCGGTGACCGCGCGCTCTCCGCCCTCTATCTCGAAAACGGTACCCCGTATAAAAAAATTTTTGAAACAAAATTTGTAGAGAATTTAGTATTCTACAATATTGATAATAAATACAAATAGCAAAAAACCCATAGGAAATGAGATATTTCCAAAAAAAGCGCAAAAAACCGATTTTTGTGACCTTTGACCATAAAAATTTAATAGTTGCTTACACCCTACCATATGTAGGTTTTGAGACAACTTTTAGGGTGTCAATATACAACTATTTACAGACTTACAGCTGGGTATCTCGAATTCCGAGGTGAACTTACTATAATGACTGGACTAATATATATATATATGAATATTATTATATTTCAGTTGTATACCAGACTGGTTGAAAAGTGCCTTAATGAATGAGCTTTATTTTGTTGCTGACGGTGGTACTATATGGTTTGACGTCGCTGAAGAATATCCAGATACCGACCCGAGGTATAGAAATACATAATATACTATATATATATAGTACATATATATCACCACATTCTTGCATAAGATATAAAAGTGTGGGGATATGATGAGAACGTTATATGTATGACACCTAAGAACATATTACATACCAGCTTTACGCCCGCAGCTTCGCCCGCTTGGAGTTCGGTTATATCGCGTTTCCAAGAGAACCTTTCAAAAGTCTGGGATAAAAACTATCCTATGTTCTTTCTCGAGGTCAACTCTATGTCTGTACCAAATTTCTTTAAAATCAGTTCATTGGTTTAGGCGTGAAAGCGTAACAGACAGATAGACAGACAAACAGAGTTACTTTTGCATTTATAATATTAGTAGGGATTATATACACATGACACACACATATCACCACATTCTTACATTCTTACATAAGATATAAAAGTGTTGGGATATGTTGAGAATGTTATGTTTATGAGACTTAGGAACATGTCACATATTCATATAAAATTTACTAACAATTTTTTTTTGTAACAATTAAAAATGACTATTATTAATGCATTAAAATACTTTGTATGTGGGTAGTTGTTGCGGTTGGGATGTCCGAATATCGAGTTCGGAATCGTTCGCCGCTTGAGGGGTGGATCGGATCGGATGATAATTCCTCCAATAGCAGGCGGCCGGTGATCCGATCCTCGGGATCCGTGTTCGTGGCGGGTCGTTTTAGAATGAAACCACAACTTGTTAGGTAATGGCGGCAGAATCACTTGGTTTGTATGACCACGTGGTCCCTAGTCACTATCTTGAAAGCGCGGTTCTTCTCTTGTTCGGGTTCTTCACTGTTCACTGTTCTTCAAAGCGTATGAGATGTCTTCACGAGAGCTGGCTGGTGACTACTGATGATGACTACTGATAACTGATGACTGGTGATGACGACTGATGATGACAACTGACGACTGATGACGACTGACTGACTACTGACGACTGGTGATGACGACTGACTGACTACTGACGACTGGTGATGACGACTGACTGATGACTACTGATGACTACTGACTGTTCGACTCACAGCGGCCGTGTTTTATATACGTTGCGCGCGCGCACCTAGTACCGCTGTGAGCCAGCGCGGATGCCCCGCCCCCCGCCAAGTGACCCTACCGCCGTTCGTTTATTGGTCAATACATTTATCTTAAGTTTGACAATAGTATACTGCGCTCTTGCAAGAGACGCTCATTAGGGATTTTTACACGTGTTGCGCACCTGCAAGAGTCGCTTTCCTTTTATTAATTATACGATACAAATATTAGCCTAATTCCTTATTTCTTACATTTCTTATCTCTTAAATCTATTATTAACTAAACATCAGTTGCGTCGCCGACAGTAGTATTACAATTTAATAAGTTTTTTATGTGTATATATCAATTAATATTATTTTTCAGACATGAATTCGGCGTTTTCGGTTATCTGGAGGGTCATGAGTACCGAATGTATAACACATACGACGTACACTTCTACGCATCCTTCGCGTTAGCACAACTATGGCCTAATTTACAAGTAAGTTAACAAAAATACTACAAACAAGACTATAATAATGATACATTGATAACATACATATTTAATGAACTACATAACCCTATTTTTTTGTAAAGCGGTTAAATATTGTATGAATGTATACTTACTTTTGTAGGTTGTATTACAATATATGTTCAAGGAAACTATATCCATTGAAATAAACAAACTGCGACCGTCGCTGTATGACGGGAAAAGTTGCAAGTTTAAGATCAAAGACTCGATACCACACGACTTGGGCGAACCTGGTGCGTATAATGTATAAGTGATCTTTATATATATCGCGTTTCCAAGAGAACCTTTCAAAAGTCTGGGATAAAAACTATCCTATGTACTTTCACAAGGTCAACTCTATCTCTGTACCAAATTTCATTAAAATCAGTTCAGTGGTTTAGGCGTGAAAGCGTAACAGAAAGACAGACAGAGTTACTTTCGCATTTAAATATTAGTAGGGATGTAACGTTGTTAATAACTTAATAAGGAAGTGAAAAGATATGTAGCTGTATGTATAATAATCCAATTTTCAACCTGTATGTATTGATTATTTATTTTAAGTTCAATTATTGAATAGAGATGGCGTTGCATTACTTTTACTGTTTTCGAGGATTCGTCACGGGTTGACATATAAATGTGTGTATGTGTGTGTATGTATCAAAAACTCAAAATCATTACAGTGTGTGTCTTTCAATAATGTTAAATGCATATTACATAAACTAGTTTTATAAAGCCCGATTGTTTTAGTTCTCTTATAACATGTACATAAAGTCGTATATCCCCCAACAGATGGCATCCCGTTCACTCACATAAACGCGTACAACATACACGACGTGTCCGAGTGGCGCGACCTCAACCTCAAGTTTATATTACAAGTGATGAGAGACTACCGCTTACTGCGAGGACACAACGCGCCCTTCAACACCGAGAGGTATCGCTCTATGGCTTACATAGACGACATTAAAGAAGGTACTGAGGACGATTTGTATTCAAGATCCACGGGCCAGGTCGATGATCCCGCGCCAGTATCGCCGGATTTATCGACCAACTTGTCGACCGATATATCGACCAACCTGTCGACCGATCCGTCCACTTTAGAGAGGCCGAGCGGAGTGGCGAATATATTGGAGCTGTTATATCGTAGTACGGAAGTTGTAGAGGATTGTGGGGAGAAATTACAACCGCAGGAGTCAACGGCCATTGTGTGGGATTCGAAGCAGTATCTGTGTGATATGTACCCGTCGTGTGTGGCGCTGCTGAGGCGAGGATTGGATTGGGATAGGGATGGGGATGGACTCATAGAAAACGGGGGTTTCCCCGACCAGACGTACGACGCATGGGTTATGACTGGCCCCAGGTATGACTTATTATATACATATATCACAATGTGTGTATGAAACAAAATTTTTTTTGTCATATTAAAATGATTGGCCTTATACTAATAGCTTTAGAATAACATATACAAGATACAAATGCCAGAATGATTCTTTTTTTTTACAAATTGTCTGACTGTTTGTTCCTAATCTCTGAAAAGGCTGAACCGGTTTTGAATTAACTTTCATTAGTATATACCAGATGTTCTATGGAGTAACATATTATACTTTTCGCTTAGAAATTTTGTTTGTTTATAATAATAATTACAATAAATCATAAAAATGGTAATCGCAGGCACAAGTTACTACTTGTAAATATACATATTTATTATTTATATACTAATTAATATATATTCCAGTGCATATTGCGGCGGATTGTGGGTAGCGTCAGTAAGTGCGGTTCACGCGATGGCTAAAATACTTGGCTTTACGGACGATGAAAAGGAATTCAACACTTTACTGGAGAAAGCAAAAGATGCGTACGAAAGGAAACTATGGAACGGATCGCATTATAAGTTTGATACGAAGCCTTGTAACAGCGAGGTCGTGATGGCTGATCAATTAGCAGGACAATGGTTGGTTATAATTAAGGAATTATTACAGATTTAATTATTTTTATATATAAAATATACTAGCAAAATTATATTTTTGGTAGAGATTCTATGATTCATATTGAGATTAAATCAGTAGTATATAAATATAGTTTAAATGAAACTAATATGTTTCGGATATACAGGGTGACTGGTGAATTACTATCAATATTTAAGGAGAATACTCGGTACATGATTCTCATTCGAATTATGTAAAAAAAATAGGTAGTTAATTTTTGACCAAATTTCCGTATAAATAAATAAAGTGTGGACACGTTCCAAGTGTGTACGCGTGCGGCGGCTTGCTGATACAACACCACGCCGCCGCACGCGCGTGTGTGTGTGTGTATACCTAATCTGTAGGGTGTTCACACGATGCGTAATTAATTACATAACTTTTGATTAACTTTACTTAGAAGTTTATTAATATTTATGCTATATTAATTTTTATTTTGTCATATATGATCGTCAAATATCACGTCCTCAAGTATCGATAGTAATTCACCAGTCACCCGGTATAACGTGACTTTTTTTTTGTTAAAAATTACATAATACCGACGTTTCGGCTACTTAACAGCAACCGTGATCACGGGCAGACGAGATATTAAAAGTAAAGTCTTATAGTATAATTCGAAAAATTTTAGTTGTGAAATGAATAAAACTCGCAAAAAATGAATAAAACTCGCAAAAATCTTAGATCTAGACTAGATAATATATAAATTCTAGATATATACTATATTATACAGTGTATAATATAGTTTTTACGTCTTGTTACATATAATAAACTATAATAGTACCTTATAATGATTATTATTTAAATTAAAGGTTTCTAAGAGCATCTGGGTGGACAGAACCTGTATTTCCCGAAGCGAATGTAAAGAAGGCTTTGCATACTATATATGAGAATAATGTTCAGAGGTTTCTGAATGGACGTATGGGTGCTGTGAATGGATTTATTAAGGGTCCGCGACCAGGAATAGATACTACGGCGATACAGAGTGAGGAAGTGTGGACCGGAGTGACCTACGGACTGGCGGCGCTTATGATATATGAAGGTTAGTATAAATTATAGTATACTAGAAGACCCGGCGAACTTCGTATCGCCCTATAATCAAGAAATATCTGCTACTTTTTTTATAAATAAATTTAGGTTATACCTTAGCCTCAGAAACATGTGGTAGTTATGCTATTATTAAATAGTCGCTCATATATGACGTTTGTATTTTTAACATAGCGCCATCTATTGAATACTTAACTCAGTCAACAGATAATTGTAATAATGACAAATAATTTTCTTGAATAGACAAATAATTTGCAATAAAATAATATTGTGACTATAAATTGAGATGTAAGCTATCCTATATTTCAAGTTGGATCAAAATGCACACGGAATGCAAATCAAATTTAAAATCGGTTTAGTAGTTTAGGAGTCCATCGCGGACAAACACGTGACACGAAATTTTTATACAGGGTGACTGGTGAATTACTATCGATATTTGAGGACATGATATTTGACGATCATATATGACAAAATAAAAATTAATATAACATAAATATTAATAAACTTCTAAGTAAAGTTAACCAAAAGTTATGTTATTAATTACGCATCGTGTGAACACCCTACAGATTAGGTATACACACACACTCACACATACGCGTCGGCGGCGTAGTGTTGTATCAGCACGCCGCCGCACGCTTCCACACTTGGAACACTTGGAACGTGTCAACACTTTATGTATTTATACGGAAATTTTGTCAAAAATTAAGTGCCTATTTTTTTTACATAATTCGAATGAGAATCATGTACCGAGTATGCTCCTTAAATATTGATAGTAATTCACCAGTCACCCTGTATATATAAAGATAGTACATATAGTCAGGGATAGTGCAAATCCATATAAATAGCGTTGGATAATTCCGCGTATCTACATTGGAAGCATTATCAGAAGAAAGTTTGAGATGAAATATTTTCTAAATTAATGACTTTTAAGGTAATTAGTAATTATGTAGTGTATTATTAATACTACATAATTGTGAAAAAATTACCTTATAAGTCGTTAATATAGAAATTTTTCAGCTTAAATTTTCTTCTGATAATCTGCTTCCAATGTAGATTGTCGGAATTATTCAATGGTAGTTACGTGGATTTGCACTGTCCCGGATTATATATGGAATATTATGTTAAGAAAAGACAACGACGAAACTTCTCAGTATTCAATGTGTTGACCGTGTGGGTACAGGGTCCATAGTTGCAGGGAGAGAAGGTTTTATAGTGCCTGGGACTTGCGACCCAGGTGTAGGTTTAGAAGGACTATCTAACGCTATGCTGAAGCAATATCTAATAAAAAAAATAAGTTAAATTTTGTAGAAATCACTAATTCGCTTTTTTAATGTACATATATATTCCCAGAGAGGAATGGGTCAAGCAAGGAACTATGCATAAGATTTACAAATACATAAAATCCGGCGTGTCGAACAAAATTTTTACGTGTATTGTGTGTAATCGTATATACTGTATAGATAGACCACCTATATTAAGTAAAGGAAATGAAATAAGATAGAATATATCAAGAATTGAAATGAATAATTCATTTTATAAAGGCTTTCCAAGAAATTTGATAAATTTATTTGCTTACTTTTCATACTAGTCTCAATATTGATTCTATTTTTAATACATTACTCCAGCTTTCTTTAAGAGATATCAGAGATTATAACGCGTACGTGTTTCCAGGTATGCACGAACAGGCTTTCTCAACCGCGGGCGGCTTATACAACACCTTAATGAAGATGGGCCTCGCGTTTGAAACCCCTGAAGCGCTCTACGAAAACGGCAACCATCGTTCAGTGGCATACATGAGACCTCTCTCTATATGGTCTATGTATCACGCGATCATAACGAAACCACCACAACACGGGGCAACCAGTAATGGACAACCTCATCACGCTAAGGAAAATCATTTATAGTGCAATAAATCTTATTATTAAGGTATAATAAGTTTCAATGTTTAATTGTTCGTTTGAATGTGTCGTGCCAAGTTTATTTTTTTTACAAAATTTTATAATGGTCGCTGTGAAATTAAATTTCGGCGACGTAATCGTCAATATTACTTTATTAATTATTTTATTTGTTCACTTAATTTATAAATGTGGCTATATACAAGTATAAGCAATCTTAGTATTGACGTGTCCACGGAAATTGTATTAAAAAACCAAATTTAATTTTTAAAATATTTATTTTGACTTATACATTAATTTTTTAATCAAATTTAATGACAAAATCTTATGTTTATTTATGAAATATGTTAAAATAATGACAGTATTGACATCAGCTTAAAAATATAAAGTAGTTTTAGTCATATAATGAAAAATATTGCATTTATTTTTCATACGATTTTTAAAAATCTGTAGCACTCATAACCGTTTGTTAATTATTTGTAGTCTTACTATTAATGTTATGCACAAAGGGTGCTTTGAATAAAAAAACATATTTTCAAAATGCTTTGGTTTTATTCAATATATTTGGTTCGGAAATTACAAGATTTTAATAGATTAGACTTGAGGTGATAAGCGTTGGTATAGAAATGGTTTAATAAAAGTCCACGACACTTGGAATGTAATTATATTGTTATAATGCACACAGAAGAAAGTTACCAGACTGACACAGAAAGGTTAAAGTTCACACAGCTCGGAAGTAGAAAATTAATAATCAACTATTAATACACACGAAATATGACAATAAGAGTTTTCGGTATCGAAGCGCAAGATGGAATGTTTAAGTTCGCTATTCGGATCTAATTATTAAAATCTACTGCCTCCTCTACACGTAGACAGATTTGTCTGCAGACGTCCGCAGACGCATCCGCAGATGAATCTCTACGAGCCGTCCACACGTCGCCAGGTCGTTCAGTCTATGTTGGTTCTCGTCAGATGCAACACGTACGCACGCAGAATGGATATAGAGACCGTTGCTGCCGCAGCTATTTATTTATTTAGTACCTACAAGTATTATTTAAGCGTCTATCGCAATAGAGTTATTAAAAAAGAATGGAGAAGAAGAAGGTGGTGGATGCTGACTATACATAGAAACCGAACAAAGTAAGTGGGATTTTTTTATTCATAATATAACTTGTACGCTTTTTAATCGACTTCAAAAAAAGAAGGTTCTCAGTTTTATCTGTATGTTTGTATGTATGTTTGCGGTTTTCATAAAAGGATTTGTTACATTTAGGTAGAGGTTATAGTATATAATACTTCTTAGTTTAATGATGACCTTCGGCAATATACTTGGATATTCTTACGGGTTAGTGTTTTTGAAGTCGGTTCTCTTTTCTAAAAAGTTTTTTTTAACGTAGGTAACGACTTCTTACATTACTCTGTTTCTTCGCAGGAATACGAACGAGCAAATCACTCCCTCTACACGTAGGCGGACGCGTCCGCCGATGGTATCGGCGGACGCGTCCGCCTACGTGTAGAGGGAGTGATTTGCTCGTCTGTGGTAGGTATTTGACGTCGGCAGACGCGTCCGGCACTTATCCGTTTGTTGTCGGTTTTTGTTGCACGGATCAAAGGGATCTGGCGCGGGCGCCCGGCGCGAGCGTGCGGTGTGTCCACACGTCTGACGACGCATCAGTGTTCAGCGGGAAGCGAGTGAGAGTGCACGCGTGATTTTCGCCGTTCTTTTTTACCTACCGCCGTTTTTTTCTTGCTTGTTGAAATGGCAAACATGAGCACAGAGGAAACATTTAAATTTCTGGAGCTGTATCAAGCAGAAAACTGCACAACAAAACACAAAATATGGCAAATCAACAAACCGAAATGGTTAACATTATTTCACAAGAAGTACTTGTACCACAAACAAGTAAAATGTATTACGAAAGCTGTTTAAATATGACGGACGATAATAACACCGATCACCCTTAATTTGTCAAAGCAAACTGAAAGTACCTACTTACCTATTTGTCAAAGCAAAGTTTTTTGTAAACTGTTGATTATTCATTACAATACAATTAATAATAAAGATTTTGGATTAAATTATGTGGTTTACCTTCACTAAATCCTTTAACACGTTATTGAGCGCTAAACATACTTCAGGAACAATAATGGATATAACTTGGCTTGAAATTTTAAACAGGTAATGCAAGCTTCTATAGCTATCACCAGTAGCTAAATATCTTAATGTTACTGCCAAACGCACTTTCACTGGAATGGCATCCCTCCAATCTGTATCTTTTTTAGCAATCGTTGGAGATATCTTTTGTAGTAAATATTCAAAATCGCTGCTAGACATTCGAACAAAATTATTAAATTCTCCAGAGGGCTCTGCATATAGTTCTGCAAACTGGTTTTCCATGCTATTCCTGCGAAGAAACAGAGTAATGTAAGAAGTCGTTACCTACGTTAAAAAAAACTTTTTAGAAAAGAGAACCGACTTCAAAAACACTAACCCGTAAGAATATCCAAGTATATTGCCGAAGGTCATCATTAAACTAAGAAGTATTATATACTATAACCTCTACCTAAATGTAACAAATCCTTTTATGAAAACCGCAAACATACATACAAACATACAGGTCAAACTGAGAACCTTCTTTTTTTGAAGTCGATTAAAAAGCGTACAAGTTATATTATGAATAAAAAAATCCCACTTACTTTGTTCGGTTTCTATGTATAGTCAGCATCCACCACCTTCTTCTTCTCCATTCTTTTTTAATAACTCTATTGCGATAGACGCTTAAATAATACTTGTAGGTACTAAATAAATAAATAGCTGCGGCAGCAACGGTCTCTATATCCATTCTGCGTGCGTACGTGTTGCATCTGACGAGAACCAACATAGACTGAACGACCTGGCGACGTGTGGACGGCTCGTAGAGATTCATCTGCGGATGCGTCTGCGGACGTCTGCAGACAAATCTGTCTACGTGTAGAGGAGGCATAACGCAGTAGCGGGTAAACGCCCGCTCGCCTTGCCGCATACTACACGTTTCACCCGAGTATGCTCGTGAATTAAATTTTTATTATAAATAATATTATATAAGTTTTTATGCATATAATATTGAATATATAAATGTGTAGTGTGAATGTATAGAGTGTAATATACGTAAATAAATATTAAATATAATTTTATATATCAAATATGTCGTGTAATAAATAAATATAATATAGTTACATATATATTATGATAATGCGCCTACAACAGCTGAAACCTCAAAAATTATCACTGGATTTGGACGGCGCAGTGGCCACATTGTACTCTGTCGATCGTTGGCAAGTTACTCAAGAGGTTTCAGCATAAAAACAATTACTCAAGTGTAAAAAGTTGTTCATAGATTTAAATTGTTTTGATTTTATCAATACTATTGTTTTTTAATTATTATTGAAAAACTTACGAATTTGCTTCGTATGGACAGCAGGCCCTAATTCTTCTTTTAATTTACAAGACGTGTTTTTTGTATAGCATACTTCTTATGTCGAGATGAAATGTTTGTTTTTGACAGAATTGTTTCAAATTGTTTCTTTCACTACTGAGATTGCTTTTTACGTATGAATACTACTTTTTACCACATGCAAAGGAAGTTTCATTGCATTTATTAAAAGACTGGTATACAATTATATGACTTTAGTTAAGGATGTCATTATAATAAAAAAATAAATTTCACACCATACCTTTTGTATGTAAAGCAATCACAGATATTCGGCTGTCTTTAAAATTCCACCCATTTTAATGTCACGACATATAAACAATATAGGTACAAATTAAAATTGATAACATAGTAGTGCATACATAGTGATAGCATTTATGACCAGACAAAGTATAATTACAATATAGTCGTAAACAACAATATACAAGTGTTTAATAAATGTATTGTACTATAGACACTAGCTCATTTGTGTGTGTCCTACTGCTAAATCAATTTATAAGACAAAGGACTTCAATATTATATTCAGAGACTTTAGTACGCGATTTAGATATGACAGAAAAAGAGTTCACTAAAACATATTTTTATATTAACAAAAATATTAAGACAAACGAGAAAAATCCCGTCGTATACTTAATACAACAATGTTATTTTAATTCTTTGGAGTGTTGATTGTGAACGAAAATACGTTAAGACATCAAACTCTAATATCTATAAATAAACTGATTTAAGTAAGTGGAACAGACTAATGTCTAGACGACGCTTAAATTGTGAAGAAAACGTTTCTGTTTACATTTGGAACTTATCAGATTTATAAATCCTTATAATTCTTAATGAATATATTTTTTTGTGTTCATAAATTTGTTATTAACGTTATCAAAAGTTTTAAAATATCCAAATTATAAGTTAAAATAAGCATTAATTTGAAAATAAAATAAAATGTATCATCACTTTTGTCATCACACTCATATATAGAAACAAAAGCTTCTGGCTTCTTTGACTGTTTCTATCTCAAACATGTGATTCTTGTCAATAAACGGTCGCGGTGGTCAAATGTGCACTGTTCGGGACCAAGTTAGTTTAGAAGGAAGAAAGAAATGAATAATGGATGATTGATTGGCTTTGCTATTTAGGAATCTATAATAAAATATGCAAATTGACTTAAATAAAAATATGAAAATTATTTTCTGTTACGAAAACACACTACTAATTAAATGTGTAGGTCCTAAATACAATGTTCGGCTAGTTATTTTGTATAGTGCAATCTCAACAACATTATATATATATATATATATATATATATATATATATATATATATATATATATATATATATATATATATATCGATCGAAAGATCTATTTTAACTCCTCGCAATGACCAGGCATCTGAGATCAATAACAAAATACTATCGATGAACAAGAAGCCAGGAATTATCCGATAGAATTTTTAAATTCTTTAAATATGCCCGGATTTCCCTCTCATGAAATTTGTTTAAAAATTGGCATTCCGATTATTCTGCTCCGAAATTTAAGACCACCACAACTTTGCAATGGAACTAGACTAAAAGTAACCCAGTTGCAACAAAATATAATCGAGGCTCAAATTTTAACAGGTTGCGGTGCAGGAGAAAGCGTCTTTATTCCCATAATACCCTTAATAACAAATAATTTTCCATTCCAATTCAAAAGGACGCAATTCCCAGTATCAGTGTGTTATGCAATGACCATTAACAAGGTTCAAGGTCAGACTTTTCATGTTGATAGAGTGGATCTCAGTGTCAGTTGTTTCTCGCATGGTCAGTTGTATGTTGCTCTTTCCCGTGTTAGCAATTCTAAAAATCTTTATGTTCAGGTACCGGATGGGTCAACATTCATTATATTTTACCCGGAAGCTTTGCACTGAAATATTTTCGTTCTATAGGTAGGTACATTTACTACTATTGTTGAGAGTTTTAAATTGTAATGGTGTATCATTTGAAATGGCTCAAAGTAAATTTGTAGCTCTGTGTGCTCTCACTTTAAGTAGCTAGAAGGAATTGTGTAAAACGTTGATGGGGGAAATGGTAGTGCTCACAAAGTATTTTGAGTGTCACTTGGTGGTTTGAACAATTCACTTTACAATATGTATATGTAATACAGGAATGGTTACCTTTGCAGATTCGAGGACAAATATACCTATCATCGAACAGTTTCTTTATTGCCAGTGCCGGATAGTGACTATAATTTTTTTAGAATTTATTTCATGAGCGATTCAGGAAGACAAGTCAATCAGCGTTGTTCACACAACTATTCTGTGAAAAGACCAGTTGAAGAAAGGCTCAAATTTTTTTTCCATCAACACAACGCCTTGGTTGCATTATTCAAGACCGCATTAGATCACACGCCATCTGATAATCACAAAATTGTTATGAAGTCGCTATTGTCATTGTGGGTGAAAATTTACATAACCGCAATATTGTTTTACGCCGGTGTAACAATCAATTACAGCGTGTGCCCGAAACACATCGATTATACAGGGTGACTGGTGAATTACTATCAATATTTAAGGAGAACACTCGGTACATGATTCTCATTCGAATTATGTAAAAAAAATAGGTACTTAATTTTTGACCAAATTTCCGTATAAATAAATAAACCGTGGACACGTTCCAAGTGTTCCAAGTGTGGACGCGTGCGGCGGCGTGCTGATACAACACTACGCCGCCGCACGCGCGTGTGTGTGTGTGTGTGTGTGTGTATACCTAATCTGTAGGGTGTTCACACGATGCGTAATTAATTACACAACTTTTGGTTAACTTTACTTAGAAGTTTATTAATATTTATGTTATATTAATTTTTATTGTGTCATATATGATCGTCAAATATCACGTCCTCAAGTATCGATAGTAATTCACCAGTCACCCTGTATAATGCTTTACAATATCTTATCTTATTTTGGTAAGGTGAAGATGGATATCATCTTCATTCATTTAAACATCATTCATTTAAACATTTTAAGTTTTTAATGTTTATCATAGCTTAAACTTTAAAGTAATTTATAAGTATAATTTTATCACAAAAAAATGTTTTTAGGTTCTGAAACTAACAAAAAGTTAGTTCAATGAATTATTATTCATACAGACTTATGGTTGGAGAAGTTGAGGTCAATCAAATCTTAAAATGTTGGCGTCTCTTTCACCAATATGCTGTCGATATGTATGTAGCGTACCTACTTATTTATTTATTTATTTAAATTTTTTCATTTATTAATTTATTTATCATTTATTAAATAATATATTAATTTATTTATTCATTTCAATATCTATTTATTTATTTACTTTCAAAAAATATACATATATATACATCGGAAACACACTGCCGGCCCGTCTACTCATTTTTATAGTTACATATGATTGTAAGACCGCTGACCGGCCAGAGGTCAGAGCGGCCCGGCCGGCCGGCGTACGTGACTAGTTCGTCGACCGATAACGGCAGTTAACAGCTGAGCATTTTAATCTATACTAATATTATAAAGCTGAAGAGTTTGTTTGTTTGTTTGTTTGAACGCGCTAATCTCCGAAACTACTGGTTCGAATTGAATAATTCTTTTTGTGTTGCATAGTCCAGTTATCGAGGAAGGCTGTGGGCTATATAACATCACGCTACGACCAATAGGAGCAAAGATATAGTGGTAAATGTGTAAAAAACGGGAGAAATTATTTCATCTTTGAAGCCTTCGGTTGCGTGCGCCGTGAAAACGGTTCAAGATACACAAAAAATATGTATTAAAGAATAATAGCTCTTTTAATTATCTAAAAAACAGTCCGCGACAGTATATATCTATCTTTTAAGATTAACTCACAAAAACCGTTTTTATAGTACCCAATTTGGTCGAAATAATATGTTTAAGTTGTATCAACATAATAATCTTCTATATATATAAAAATGGATTGTTATTCCTTAGTCTCGCTAAAACTCGAGAACGGCTGAACCGATTTGGCTAATTTTAGTCTTGAAATACTCCTGGAAGTCCAGAGAAGGTTTAAAAGGTAAGAAAAATTGGAATAATTGCCCGGAAAACCCTAAAACAGCCCTTTTCTATTTCCCATGCAAACGATTTTTTGACATTAGACTTGACAACTTACTCATATCTCAATCATTCTGTTCGATTGAAACAGGAAAAATTTAATAAATACCAATACCTGGTTATTGAAGACGGAATAGAGTTCGCCCGGTCAGCTATACCTATGTTACTAATGACGAAATTAACGCGGACGAAGTCGCGGGCAAAAACTAGTTAATAATATTAATCTTTATTCAAATAAACAAATAAATAGGTTGTTGGTTAAGAGTACTTCATTGTGAATAAAACTAAAACATAGGTTTTATCCTGAAAATTCTACTGGAACTCGACCATTCCGAAAACCCCGCAAGAACGGGAACTATGTGGGATGAACCAAAAATCTGCCGGAAGTCACTATTCCACGCGGACGGAGTCGCGGCAAAAGCTAGTCGTTAATATTTTAAAATATCGATTCGCCAATTAATTATAGTTTGTGTTACTCTCTTCCTATTCTCCTTCTTCGTACGTAAACTTACTTTTTGTGAACTGTTATATGTACTATATGTGTTATTGGCAATTGTGTTGTGTATTAAGATTCAATAAACAATTACCACCGATAATCTCTTTTCACTATATGTATGTAAAAGTAAAAACTGAGCGATTAACATTTATCAGGTTGAACCAGGCAAAACTCCGTTCAGAGGAATAAGGATATTAACTTCATTCAGATAAAAACGCAACAGATATTTCTTGATTATAGGGTGATACGAAGTTCGCCGGATCACCTGGGTTGGTACTTTACCTTACCTTTTTAAGGCAGTGGTACTTATATTGCCACCAGAATTTGAACCTTAACACATTATTATAAAGTTTTAAAACTAATAAATATTTTTAAGTTCTGTGTCATATAAAAGTTTAAGCCGCAAGTGAACGTGATCTAAACAATATAATACCAATATGAATAATAATAATAAATATTACCAATACATTAACTTAATATACAAGGAGTTACACGCTAACGGAGTCGCGGACACAGCTATCTATACTTTTCTGCCGAAAGTCATTAATCCACGCGGGCGAAGTCGCGGGCAAAAGCTAGTATATACATATAAAAATGCTCAAGACGAGATTTTAAATACGTCTGGGAGATATTTGGCCCCTAGAATTTGTCTGGCTGCATAGAAATAGTGTAAAGATAGTTTCTAAAATATCATATACAAAAACCAAGACTCAGACTTTGAGTAAACTTACGTTATTTTATGCAAACTTTAAAGCGTCTGGCGGAAATTACCGCCGACGAAAACGTTCTAGCAATATTAATTTTAAATTTTTAATACAATTTGTTAAAATATATATAAAAATCAGCTCTCAGAATTTAAGAAATGTGCCTAATATTTTTATGTACCTCTACCACCTGGTACCTGTGAATTGGCCGCCGGCCCAAGCTAGCAGGGATGCATACCTTCAGAGTTTACCCTAACACTACTTTCTAATACAGTGGTGTCATCTATGGTGTCATGTTTTTTGTCTGAGTCAAATAATTTTGCAGCTACACTATTTCACTATATTCACAGAAAATACTATTTATTCTTATTCAAGAAGGATTTTAATTTTTAAGTATTGGTTATATTTACATAATGTTTAAATCAAATCTAAGAAATTAAAAACATTCTATATTTTTAAGTAACTCTTTTATTTGGTATAATTGTAGATTGTGCGAAAGTATTAAAGCTTATTCAATTTAGAAAAAATATTAATTACACATAATTATTAATTATATCTAAAAATTAATTTCTTAACTAACTTATTAAGAACCGCAACTCAAGCATTCGTCTTTATTTGCTAGGGAGCAAGCAATCATGGACATGTTTGCCTCATCTTTCTGTGTGTTACCATTAGCGGTTTTAACTTTCGACTTATCCACGGTGAATTGTATAGCATTAGCAGCTGGTTTTGTACGTAAATAGTACATGCCAGTTTTCAGACCCATTTTCCATGCGTAAAAGTGTATGGATGTTAATTTTCCATAATTTGGTTCTGCGACATGTATGTTAAATGATTGACTTTGATCGATAAAGGCTCCTCTGTCCGCAGCCATTTGAATTGTAGTTTTGACGGAAATCTCCCATACTGTTTTATAGAGATCTCTAATATCTTTCGGTATTGCTTCAATATTCTGAATGGAACCATTGTTATGTATGATGAGATTTTTCATTTCTTCATCCCATAGATCCGCTTGAGTCAAATCCGTTAATAGATGATGGTTGACCACTTGAAACTCTCCAGACAAAACTCGTCTTTGGTATATGTTTGATGTGAAAGGTTCAAACGATTCATTATTTCCAAGTATTTGAGCGGTGGAGGCAGTGGGCATTGGTGCTAATAGAAGTGAATTACGAAGACCATGTTTTGCAATTTTTTCTTTAAGAGCAGCCCAGTCCCAAAGATCTGTGGGTGTTTTGTTCCACATATCATACTGTAGAATTCCTTGGCTAGCAGGGCTTCCTTCGTAAGTGCTGTAAACACCATCTCTCTCTGCTAACTCACAACTCGCCTCGAGTGCACCGTAATAGATCGTTTCAAATATTTGCTGGTTAAGTAATATCGCCTTCTCACTCTCATACGGTAATCTCATAAGAACAAATGCGTCAGCTAATCCCTGAACACCGATACCAATGGGCCTATGTTTCATATTCGAATTCTTCGCTTCTGGTACGGGATAGAAGTTAACATCAATAATTTTGTTCAGATTTTGTGTAACAGTTTTGGTTACTTCTTTTAGTTTCTTGAAATCGAATTTTTTGTTTTCCACAAACATATTAAGAGCTATTGAGGCGAGATTGCACACGGCGACCTCGTCTTCAGATGTGTATTCAACGATCTCTGTACACAAATTACTGCATTTGATAGTTCCAAGATTTTTTTGATTGCTTTTTCTGTTACATGCATCTTTGTATAACATGTATGGAGTACCAGTTTCGACTTGCGCTTCAATGATGGCTTTCCATAAAATCTGAGCGCGTACTTGTCTGACAAATCTGTTTTCTTGTTCATATTTCTCATATAACGCTTCGAATTCTTCACCATAACAATCATAAAGCCCTGGACAGTTGTGAGGACACATCAGACTCCAATTTTCATTTCTCTCAACCCTCTTCATGAACAGGTCTGGTATCCACAGAGCATAAAACAATTCTCTGGCCCTCACTTCTTCCTTTCCTGTGTTTTTCTTTAAATCCAAAAACTCGAAGATATCAGAATGCCACGGCTCCACATAGATGGCGAATGCTCCCGGGCGTTTATTGCCACCTTGATCAACATACCTTGCTGTGTTATTATACACCCTCAACATGGGAACTAGTCCATTTGAAATACCATTTGTCCCAGCTATGTAAGTTCCTTTAGCTCTTATACAATGAATATGAAGACCGATTCCACCAGCCGATTTTGAGATTAGGGCACACTGCTTTAATGTATCATAGATTCCTTCAATACTATCGTCTTTCATGCCAATAAGGAAACAGGATGATAACTGAGGCCTTGGAGTCGCAGCTGAGAACAATGTAGGGCTTGCATGTGTGAAATATTTCTCAGACAACAAATTGTATGTATTTATAGCAGCATCTATATCTTTATCGTGAATTCCAATAGCAACACGCATCAGCATATGTTGTGGACGTTCAGCAACCTAAATAAAAAATATTACAATTAAAATTCTATTATAAATTCATTATAGTTCAATTTAAATTGTAATAATAAACACCTTATTATTTATTCTCAACAGATAAGATCTCTCAAGGGTCTTGAACCCAAAGTAGTTGTATTTAAAATCCCTGTCGTAAACTATTGCCGAGTCCAGTCTGTCTTTGTTCTTCATAATGATCTCGTAGTGGAAATCTGATATCATTGGTGATCTCTTCTTTGTGTATGGATTAATTATATTATATAGATCAGTCATCACATCTGTAAAAAAAGTTTTTGTTGAAATGTATGTAATATCTTCATTAATAGCGAGAGTTAATAAAATGCCACAATATTATATTCCGATGCCTGCAAACAATAAAATATTTGTTACAGTTGTTGGTAAAAATAGTACATTTATATTTGCAATGCTGTATATTCTCTATGGTACTGTTATTCTATATTTGTTTTTGATATACTTGTCAATTAATTATTCCTTATGTAAATGTAAAATGGTGTGCTTTGTAAAATTATAGTCCTTAATAAAAATTGATTATGAACATTTAAAGTAAGTGTTATTCGTCATATTAAGAACAGTAATATTTATTTCACTGAAGAAGATGTTATTGTAATTTCATATAAGTAAGATTTATTAGAAGTACTTTATTATTATTTATACAAAATTTATCCACATCAATAATGATTTTTAAATTTCGAGACCATCTTCATACAATTTTATACCAGTAAAATAACTAATTACCTGAAAAGTGTTTTTTGGTTTCCTTATGAAGATTAGAAATAGCAAGCCGGGCGGCTAAGATAGCATAATCGGGATGGTCAGTAGTCATTGTAGCTGCGGTCTCAGCTGCAAGATTATCTAATTCAACGGTCGTAACACCAGAATATATTCCACTTATGACCTTCAGTGTTATACTCACCTATTGATAAAAAATTTATTTAATATGTTTTCTGCTATTAAATAGCTTTTTTTCTCGGCATAGAATGTGTTATACAGGGGTGACTGGTGAATTACTATCAATATTTAAGGAGAATACCCGGTACATGATTCTCATTCGAATTATGTACAAAAAATAGGTACTTAATTTTTGACCAAATTTCCATATAAATAAATAAAGTGTGGACACATTCCAAGTGTGGATGCATGTGTGTGTGTATACCTAAACTGTAGGGTGTTCACACGATGCGTAATTGATTACATAACTTTTGGTTAACTTTACTTAGAAGTTTATTAATATTTATATTATATTAATTTTTATTTTGTCATATATGATCGTCAAATATCACGTCCTCAAGTATCGATAGTAATTCACCAGTCACCCTGTATATAAATACATAAGTTATAAATGTTTATATTAAACAGCTGATTACTTAGAAAATAGAGATAAGCTAATCTATATTAGATACTATTAAGAATTTACTACAAATAGTATGGAACACGATTAGTCATAAGAAATAAAGAGGAACTTAGCAACTGACAATAAATTATATTATGATAAGTATATGTTATTGACCGATTCAGATCAAACTACGGAAAAGTTGTAGTTACTGATTGGATATATACTCAACTAGTAAGCAGAATAAAAGAGCTATAAAGATGAATATAAATAATAATAATGTTCAAACATAATAAATGTTCCAATCCCAAGTAAAAATATTATTAGGGAGTTTATTTAGTCATTTTAAATTACAATCGAATTAAGTGATATATATACCAGAAGATCTCTAGATTTACGTCTTTTTAGAAATATATAGTTTTGTCATATTAATGGAAAAGGATTTATGTACTCACAGGGTCAACGAAATCCATGTTCAACCCATAGCACAATTTTTTAATCCTCGACGTTATTTTATCAATATGCACCTCTTCCATTCGGCCATCTAAAAAGACTTTTATAGTAAATAGTCTATCAAACTAATCAGAATCATAACTTAGTTAAAACAACTTACCCCTTTTAAGAACGTATAATTTATTTATTTTTCCAACCATTTTAATAATTATGTTCTATTATAATGATAAAGTATCTAGCTACCCAGCAATTATTTCAGTGTCAATGATTGTTAAAAACAAATCTATAAAATAAACTTCACGAAAACATAGGTAAGAATTCTATATATTGTATGAGAATCAACCGCAATTGTAAGGTATCTTATATACAATGACAGTTAAAAAAGCGGGAAAATGAAGGATTTTGCACTAAAAAAAATTAAACAAACTTAACGGTATATTTTCATGTGTTGCTATATTACTACATTTATAGTTATCCTTTCTTATTACTAATTAATAATTAAAATAAGCCATTTTAATATCTGCTAGATAATTGGTATCTTTAGCAGAATAAAAAAATGTCTTATTTAAAACTAAAGTGGGAGTAAAATGTTCCTCAGTTTTTATTTTCAGGAATCAAAGTAATGCAAGTAGTGCAAGTGCAAAGGCAAAACTGACCTTATAAAATTTTTTAAGCATATATTCTAAAAATACGATCAAAAAACCTCTTTTCATGATCAAGTAAATGTTTTTTTTGGAGAGGATAAACAAAAAGGTTTTCACAGAACATGCTTCTTTTTTATTATATTAGACTCGAAAAGCGTAACTCTTATTTTCATTTATTTTAATTGTGGAAATTAAAAGGATTGATCATATTTACTGATTTCTAAAACCTAGTAAGACTTAAAATAAGAAAACTTTAATTTTCATTTCTTTTCAATATAATCAATACACTATTAAAAATATGTGTTTAATTGGAACAGAAATTAATTTATTTCAAAAATTCAAATTAAGTAATAGTCTCTATTCATAAAAAATTACAGAACAAGATGATCTTAATTTGCTACTCTCTTTCTGTTAGCACTGCCTTAACAATTTAGGTATTAGACATAATAACAGAGTAAAAAACTCCGTTAAAATCAAGTCTGTCATTGCCACCTGACTAAGATTTTATAACTTTAGTTTCAAAAAGTCAAATTTTGAAACCTAAATATTATGTCGAATATGGAATGCTCATTACCCCGTATTAAATTTTTGATTCATGTGTTTCTGTATAGATAATCAATAGATCAGTTTTTTGACGTTACTAGTTTTGTTCTTATCAGGAATAGAGCTTTATGTTTGATAAAACATTTTAGTTATGATTACAAGTAAAGAAAATGAAGTTAAACCAAAATATAGAAGGACAAAATTACGACTACCGATCCTTTGTGATAGGGCTAAGTCTTGCAATATCATCGAGTATATTTATTGGGTCTAGTTTTATTATAAAAAAAATAGCTTTGAAGCGTATGAATGCTCAGGGAAACATTAGAGCGTCTGCAGGAGGGTATGGATACTTGAAGCAATGGCTGTGGTGGCTTGGACTCATTACAAGTATGATGAAAAATTAAAAAAAAAATAAGTTGCAATATGTATGCTTATAATAATATTATTTACAGTGGGTGCAGGAGAGGCTGCAAATTTAATAGCATATGCATTTGCACCAGCAGCTCTTGTAACTCCTTTGGGTGCTTTAAGTGTACTTGTGGCTGCGGTGCTTTCAAGTAAATTACTGAATGAAAAACTTTATTTCCTTGGAAAGGTTTAGTATATTTACTATCAATGTCACACAATAATGAGTTAATTAAGATAAAATTAATATGAATATTTTTTTTGTTTCAGCTTGGATGTTTCCTATGTCTTCTGGGTTCAGTTATATTTGTCACATTCTCACCAAAACATGAGGAAATTACTAGTTTTGCTGAACTATCAGTCAAAATGACAAAGTACACCTTTGTATATTATGTTATAACTATAATATTGATGTCAGTCATTGTTAAGATGGTTTTTGTACCTCGTTTCGGTAACACCAATGTGATTGTGTATTTATTGATTTGTTCTGCGATAGGGAGCTTAACTGTGGTTTTTTGTAAAGGAGTTGCATTGGCCATTAAAGAAACCATAAATAGCAATGTGAATAATATATCTACATTTTTATTTTGGTTACTCTTAGGTTCCTCTATAGCTTGTATAATGATACAAATGGTTTATTTGAACAAAGCAATAGATATATTCAGTACAAACGTAGTCACACCCGTGTATTATGTAATGTTTACCGTGTTAGTCATTATGTCTTCTGGAATTTTATTTAAGGAGTGGGAACATATGAAGGTAGAAGATATATTAGGTTGTTTCATTGGTTTTCTTATTCTTATGATGGCTGTTTTTTTGCTAAATATTGTAAAAGAAACGCAATATAATTCAAATAATATTGATGTACATTAATTAAGATAGATTGACATTTAAAATTCTATGTTCCAGTATTATTAAGTTATTCAATTTGTATTGTTATGAAAATAATAAGTATTTTCTTACAAGAAATTGTTTAATTTCATAAGTCTAATAGGAATACATTAATTTTTACAAGAATTACCTCACCTTACAAGGTAAGTTGTTTCAAAAGTAAAATTTTTACATCTAAAAAAAAACATGCCATAAATTTTTGATATTTTAACTTACCATATTAAATATATCAACAGAGAAGACAGGATAACATAATAAAAAAATATTTTTAAAAAAGCCCGACAGAAAATATGTGGATACAATTAATGAGCAATAAATATTATCATAAATAAACAGTAACAGAGTGATATATAAATGTTCTACATACAGGGCATGTGCGTTGGTAGTCATACAACCTCATGCAACATTCAGTACAGAGACACACATGTCGACAGGGTAGCGTCAAGACACACTTCTGACGTTCCTGGCATATAACACATAAAGCATCTGCACCATTCGGATCATCGGGGTTGTCCAAAACATTTATATCCCTAGACACAATAGGCTGACCACCAACCAATTGACTTATAATACGCCCTTCGGGATCAGTGAAGTAGTTATAAATGGAGTAATACAAATACATTATCTTTCTCAAAGTTATCCAATAAACATTAGTTATTTGATATTGAATAGTTGATCTAAAATGTATACAGGAACGAGTTATAATAATGGCTGTGATCAAGCCCATGAATGATTCCAAAGGCACATCAGATAAAAAATTCGTTACTCTAAGCAATTCCATATATCCATCGATAACATTACTAACTACTAAATCTTTAACATACACAATAAAGGTCTTTAAAATTAAGGGCAAATGCACAGGCACAAATGTAAGCAAAAGCCACAATGTATCACCAAAAAATATTAATGTCTTTTTCAAAATCAACAGAACGTCACGACAAACAATAAACACTGCACCAAACGTCCACTTTATACTGCTTAAGATTGTACTAAGCTTAAATATTAATTCCTCGTAAGAGCTAAGTAAAATATTCTGAAGGTGCGAACTTTGTCCATATATTGCATCGAACATTTCGTTTGCCATATTAGGCAATTGTTCCGTAAAAATATTTTTATTGTCTTCATAAATTATTTGAAAAAATAACAGTACACTTCCAATACTTTTTATAATTATACTTGATATATTTGTTATCAATACAACTATCACCTGACCCACAGCAGACGTAAGAACAATAAAATTCTGGATCAGTGAAGCTATCAGGTTGACAACTTGAGCCAAATATACAATCATCTTTAAACATATTTTAATTTAATAACTTTGTCTTCTTTAACTGACCATAATAGTTTGATTTTGACATTTTATGTTTATATTTGTATAAATGTCAATGTGGTTGAATTCTTTATACACAAAGTTTTATAAGAGTTAATACAAAAACTTCTAAGAAAAGTAATATTAGAAAAACTTTTATAAACAATTTATTCATATTTAACTACAAGAAAATGAAAACAAAAATCGTATTTATTTCAATTCAACTGTTCAATACCATTATTACATGATTTTCGCTATAGAGCAAATTCGAACAGGATCAGAAACATTCAATATTTTTTAACTACTAAAAATAATTAAATTAAGTTATAAGAATAAATGAATAAGTGTAATTCCATGACTAAGTTATAAAAGGCAAACTGAAACTGAACTTAGGATTAGGATTAAATTTAAACTAACCAGAGTCTAATTTATTCAAGTTTAGTTTTAAACAAAAGTATTAATTAAAAAGTTACAACTACATTTCAAAATTAAATAATAATCGAAAATATTGTTCATTTTTGTCGCTTCGCACAAATCGTTATTTAATACACCATTACCATCACCTGATTAGTGTTTGATCTAATTGGATTCTTTTCCTTAAAATGTTAAGTTATTTTAGTTTAACTGGCCGTAAAGAATTGTTCTAGATGCAATTAAATGTTCTCGTAATTATTCTGTATCTTATAATTAACTTATATAAAATGTGTCTCCAGTATCCTTTTTCCATCTTTTTTTAGCTATCCATTTTTTTATAAACTAATTTCATTAAAATGATGATTATTTGAAAACCTTAAATGCCTTAAATTTAAAACCTTAAATGCCTTTGTCTTACACAAAAGTTTCTACCTTACCATCAAAACTATTATTTTCAGTTATCGTGAAACTTAACTTTAAAAATGTCCTACTAAGAGTCGGTAGATTTATATGTGTAACTAGCTTTTGCCGCGGCTTCGTCCGCGTGGAATAGTGACTTCCGGCAGATTTTTGGTTCTTCCCACACAGTTCCCGTTCTTGCGGGGTTTTCGGAATGGTGGACTTCCCGTAGAATTTTCAGGATAAAACCTATGTTTTTTTTTAATCACAATGAAGTACTCTTAACCAACAACATATTTATTTGTTTATTTGAATAAAGATTAATATTATTATGTTGCTACAACTTAAACAAATTATTTCGACCAAATTAGGTACCATAAAAACGGTTTTTGTGAGTTAATCTTAAAAGATAGACATATACTGTCGCGGACTGTTTTTTAGATCATTAAAAGAGCTATTATTCTTTAGTACATATTTTTTGTGTATCTTGAACCGTTTTCACGGCGCACGCAACGGAAGGCTGCAAAGATGAAATAATTTCTCCCGTTTTTTACACATTTACCACTATATCTTCGCTCCTATTGGTCATAGCGTGATGTTATATAGCCTACAGCCTTCCTCTATAACTGGACTATCCAACACAAAAAGAATTATTCAATTCGAATCAGTAGTTTCGGAGATTAGCTCTTTCAAACAAACAAACAAACTCTTCAGCTTTATAATATTAGTATAGATGAGCTACTATAATTGTATAAACATAAACCCAATTAAATGATAAGTCTCAAGAATATGATTTCAACGATAAAGGTATCGCGATAAAATGTTATATAATTTAAGGTTTTTTATTTTATTAATTATGGAAAAGGTGGCAAACGACCTACTTAATGGGCAATAGTCACCGTCGCACATGGATATCCGCAACAGAGGTTGTTACAGATGCGTTGACAATCTTAGTTGTGGCGGGGTGGGAATAAGGAAAGGGTGGAAACGGGAAAAGAGTAAAAATAACTTCTTTACGCCGATCTTCTGTCAGAGGGTGGTACTACCCCGGTCAAGCCAGCCCCTGTTTGAGTTGTATTAGTTGACCATAGCTAGACTCTACCACCTTTTGAAACTTTTATCTAAATTCTTGGTTTTATGCTCAAAAATTTACTGATAACTGGTGAATATTAAAACTTTACCGTCTTTATGTCGTCTACCTGAAGGACCATCGCCGACTTTTACTTAAATAGCCCAAAACTTTTAAAGGGTTTCTCTTCTTACCTCCCGTGGATTTATATTCAGTAAAATAAATCGTAATTATCTAAAAAAATATTTTGTATAGACAAACGTGTATTTCGAAATTTCATTGATTATTGCTACAAATAACTCCAAAACAGACTAGATTATCGATATTTATTTATTTTTATTATTTTCTCAATTCTTATATATCGGCCATTTCTTATTTATATGACATTTCTGTTATATACTTTCTCCGATTGGGTTCTGATAAACTCAAATTCAAGATATTACATGCTATTACCTCATAATACAAAAATAATTAATTATTTTTAACTTTTGTTTATGTTACAAACCATAATTTTTTACTTTATTGTTAATCTGAGAACTGATTTATTAAACGCAAATGTCATCCACGAAACAAAATGTCAACGTCAGCAATTCTAGTTCTCAATCTTAATTAAGGGAATAGAATTTTAGTTTCTGATAATCAGTCTCAAGTTTTATTGTTTGAATAAATCATTTGTCTTTGAAAAGTATAACATTTATTTATAAAAAAGTATTTTTTGCATACTTATTACATTGTAATGATTTAATGTAATTACATGTTTAGGTTCCAAAGTTTTATTACATCAGTTCGTAAGTGGTGTTGTATTATAAGTGAAGGAGCTACTTCCTAATAAGATTTAAGTCAATAATGCAATGCTCCCTCGTCGTCGAAACGTTGGAGTGTCGGATAAGACACCACTTTTACAAGAAGAATTAATACCCTACGATAAACTCAACAAAAACGGACATATTTACCAGCAAACATTTTCTGATAAGCAGCGAGAGAACTACCCTGTACCAGATACTTCGTTCGACTTTCTTGAGGAATTTGTATTTGAAGCAGTGATGGCTGCTAGAGATAGGACTCAAGAATTTGCGTCAACAGTTAGAAGTCTTCAAGGTCGAACGTTTGCTCGGCCCATAATAAAAGATGAAAAAAAAGCTGCAATGCTTGCAACATATTCTCAATTTATGAGTATGGCAAAAGTTATAAGTAAAAACATAACAAGCACCTACACCAAACTTGAAAAGCTTGCCTTGTGTATGTATAAACAAATCTTTTATTTTAAAACTTATTCAGGACTATTTGATTTTACAATACAATCATGTTCCATAATATTGATTTGTTCAATATAAGGTTCGAATTAAATATCAGTTATCTCTTCTATTTACAGTGGCAAAAAAGAAGTCTCTATTTGACGATCGGCCTATGGAAATCCATGAACTAACATATATCATAAAAGGAGATTTGAACTCCCTGAATCAGCAGATAGCAAGACTTGGGGAAATGCCTAGAGGGCGGAGGAGTATGCATAGCCATTCCTCAAGTGTAGTCTTAGCACTACAATCAAGACTTGCGTCTATGAGTAACCAGTTTAAACAGGTATATTTATTTATAAGAGTTCATAAAACAGCTGTTTTTTCTATTGATACTAAATATATATATTTTTTATAGGTACTTGAAGTAAGGTCTGAAAATCTTAAGCATCAAAACAATAGACGCACACAATTTTCCGCATCTGCTCCAGTGGTCAAAGAAGTTCCATCCTTATTGCAACCAGATGAAGTTAGTATAGACTTGGGGGATAGCTCTCCACTTCAAAGCCAGCAATTGGCATTAAGGGATGATACAGATTCCTATGTGCAACAAAGAGCGGAAACGATGCATAACATTGAGAGTACTATTGTAGAGTTGGGTGGAATTTTCCAACAATTAGCTCACATGGTCAAAGAACAGGATGAGGCTATAGGCAGGATAGATGCAAACATACAAGAAGCTGAAATGAATGTTGAGGCTGGCCATAGAGAAATAATGAAGTATTTCCAAAACATAACAGGAAATAGAGCACTCATGTTTAAAGTTTTTGGTGTATTAATTTTCTTTTTCATATTCTTCGTTGTATTCTTGGCTTAAGTTTGATTTCCAGCCATTTAAAAAAATACTTAAAGCATTTCATAAATTGATTTTTTTTATTATTATAATTGTTGTAAATTTCTTATTAAATATTCAGTGTTCTTTTAACAATGATGGTGTAGTGATCACAAAATAGATATTTGATTTACTTTTCATATTTAAGTATTGCCAGTTCTAATAATGACTTGAATAAACTTCATCCTTTTATTTATTGTTTTTAATTTAATGGACACATGTTTATTATGTTAGAAAAATTATAAATTTATTTTTTATTGTGTATTTCAAATTAATTTTACGACAAATAAGATATATTGATAACTTTGTTCATATTATGTACATATAAAGGGAATGTGTAAAATATTCTATAAATATATTATTAATTTTAATTGTGAAGATTATATATTGGTGCAGTAAATTAATGGATTAGGATATTTTGTTTTATTGTTTATACAACTAATTAAATTACTCCTACAGAAATCAGACTATTTTAATTACTGGTCATCAATGTTAAAAAAAGTGCAATTTATTATTAAAACATATATTATTATCAGATCAGTTATGCATTCTACAAAATTGTGTGACAAGGAATTAAAATTATGACAATCAACAGATTAAGAATCATTAGGATATCAAAAATGAATATATTCCACACAGCTTATACTTATAATAGATTATACTGAACAGACATTTGTACTTAAATAGACATAATTTGTTCAGTTAATTTTACAAATCTTATATTATTTACACAATACACCTATTATAACCATATGTAGCTATTACATATACAAGTATATATAAAATAAAGTTTTCCATTCACTAAGTAAATGTTTACAAAAATTCATCACACCAATCTTTCAAACATTGGTAGCAGTCAGCAGATTGTTTGGAATTAGCACTGCATGTCTCCTTCATCCATTCTTGAAATAATTCCTTGTCCTTTTTCAATACTAAAAATTGACCCAGTACAACATAAGCCTGAAAAGAAAAGTTGTTATCACTCAAATGTAACGATTACGCTATAAAAGAATTATTACTAGTGACTCATTCCGTCGGCGTCATCTACTGTATATTATATTTTGGTTTTTAAGTTTTGTACGAGTTATGAAAGTTATAAATTTATTAATACTTCGTGTATAATGGTAACTAAGCAGTAAGAAGTTATTATAGGAAACCGAAAAGTAGATGCATATACATAATATGTAACCTATTTACTACTAGTCAACAAGTATCTTATTTCGCGCCATCTGAAAGTAACATCTTTGTTACACAGTTGGCGTATATATCAATGTATAAAAATTTACAAAGACATTACAAACACAAAATGTAGAGTGTAGATAATTACAAACACTTAATACACACTTTATCAAAGCCAGCGGTTTCTAGACGCTTTCCTAGCACTTCACCAACACCAGCCAAATCTGTAACAGGCTTTTCACCCATAGGTTCCGCAACAAAGTTGCGATGTTTTTGGGAGGTACTCGACATTTTATATTAAATAAAACAAATTTATCACAAAAAAAGAAATATCGCAAAACGCGAGTTTAAGGAAATCGGTATAAATTATTCTTGCTTTCAAACTTTAATTACATAGCATTCTGTCACAGACTATACTGATATCTATAACAGTTGTATTTTTATTGTGAATGCTCATTATTAAGGAGCGATAAATAGTTTTCAATGACCTAAATTGATTATGACTAATTTCCAAAATAAAACCATGACAACAAGATTATTCTCATTGCGATTCTGACTCTTAATATAAATAATTATAGTAAAGAATTTTGTATTTATCATCCAAGCTGTTTCGAATTTTAGTAAAACATACTTTTTAAATTTTATCTAATTTAAACTATCTTATTCTTGTTTTTTTTTATTATTTAAATTATTATATCACTCAAAAAATTATACTTTTATTACTTATTTCAGTAGCTGAAAACTAAATTTTGTATATTCTATATAACACTACCGACCACCCTATAACTGACAGACGCATTAGCATATCGATAACACTTGACAGAATTTACAACTTACAAGTTATTAGTTGTAATTAGTCGAATTGATTGAAAATACAGTCGGACTGTGTAGAACATAGGCTTGTTGAATTGTTTTTTGTCTAATCTCACTTGCCTAATGCATCTAACGACAAAATTCGTATACAATAGTTATAACGAAATAATATATACATATTGAGTTGCTAAACTCAATAATCTAAGAAGTATTAGTATTCATGCATAATGGTAACAAAAATTTCTAAATATTTTTTTTATCAAATTAATAAAGGACTAAATTAATGATGAATTTAAGGATACTCCTGGCTCTGGTACTAGTTCACCAGGCCTTATGAGCACTGGGCCTTTGCTTCCGCCGCCAATGCTCGGGGGATTGCCGCCTCCCATGCCGCCGGCGGTAGCGATGCCGCCAGTTCCCGGTATGCCGCCGAATATGCCACTGCCTCCGCCGATGGGTTTTCCACCTATGATGGCACCATTTTCGATGCCTCCACCAGGATTTCCCCCTTTTAAACCAGTAAGTATCCTCTGTACAGTAAATATACCAATTTTAAATGCTTTGCGGCAATGTTTCATTAATAAAAACTATACAGGGTGACTGGTGAATTACTATCAATATTTAAGGAGCATACTCGGTACATGATTCTCATTCGAATTATGTAAAAAAAATAGGCACTTAATTTTTGACAAAATTTCCGTATAAATAAATAAAGTGATGACACGTTCTAAGTGTTCCAAGTGTGGAGGCGTGCTGATACAACACCACGCCGCCACACGTGTGTGTGTGTGTGTGTGTGTATACCTAATCTGTAGGGTGTTCACACGATGCGTAATTAATTACATAACTTTGGTTAACTTTACTTAGAAGTTTATTAATATTTATGTTATATTAATTTTTATTTTGTCTTATATGATCAACAAATATCACGTCCTCGAGTATCTATAGTAATTCACCAGTCACCCTGTATATGATTATCAAAAACTGTATAATGTATATGTATATTTATACAGGAGTTTTTCATTGTTCCTTGTACATTCAATACATTTTATGATTGAAATAATCCTTTGAAAATTGTGTGATTCAATAAAGAAGACAATCATATCACACTTTACTTAAAGTAACTTAAAATTTCTTTTAAAACCAATAATTTTCAATTATATTTTTAATGTTATAAATGTTCTTTATATACATAGTTAAAGATAAGTATGTATTAATTTTCAGTTGGGTCCAGTTATTTTTTTAATAATATTTGTTCAAGTGTTCATTATGCTACACTAAACAATTATTGTTTTATAAATTAAATTCAGTTTCTTTACTTTGTTGAATATTAAACCTGACATGGTTTTCTAAACCAGTCTTGTATGAGTATGTTAAAGAACAACAAAATAATTATGGTAAAAAAAAAAGAAAATGGTTACAATATTTGATTACTTTATATATAGATACATATACAGGGTGACTGGTGAATTACTATCAATATTTAAGGAGAATACTCAGTACATGATTCTCATTCGAATTATGTAAAAAAAATAGGTACTTAATTTTTGACCAAATTTCCGTATAAATAAATAAAGTGTGTACGCGTTCCAAGTGTTCCAAGTGTGGACGCGTGCGGCGGCGTGCTGATACAACACTACGCCGCCGCCGCGTCTGTGTGTGTGTGTGTGTATACCTAATCTGTAGGGTGTTCATACGATGCGTAATTAATTACATAACTTTTGGTTAACTTTACTTAGAAGTTTATTAATATTTATGTTATATTAATTTTTATTTCGTCATATATGATCGTCAAATATCACGTCCTCAAATATCGATAGTAATTCACCAGTCACCCTGTATATGTAAATCATTTTCAAACTTATGTCATAAATATTGTATTGATAAATGACATTGTATTTCAGGAGTTGAGTGCACCAGCACCGGAATTATCGCCCATGGCCAATCAGACTTCCCCATGGACTGAACACAAAGCACCAGATGGCCGTACTTACTATTATAATTCAATAACAAAACAGAGTCTTTGGGAGAAACCAGATGATTTGAAAACTCCCGCTGAAGTAAGTTCAATATTTTGTAAGAATAGTAAATAATAAATATTAAAGTATATTTAATTATAATTGATAATTACAGAAACTTTTGTCATCATGTGTATGGAAAGAATATACCACAGATGCTGGTAGAGTCTATTATCATAATATTGAAACAAAGGAATCTAGTTGGGTCATCCCAAAGGAACTTCAAGAGATTAAAGACAAAATTGCCGCTGAAGAAGCAGCACAGTAAGTTTTAATGTTATTTAATATAAGATTATTAATTACATCTTGCATGTAGTCTCCTGTTGACACTTGTAAATTTTGACCAGATTTATTAACTTTAAAGTATTGTAGAGAAACTACACTTCCATATATTAAATCATTCAAAGATCTATGTCACAATAATTTGCAGGTAGACAAATCTAATGTTACTGGCCAGTTTTCTTTTATTCCTCTGTCTAATTAATTCCCTATTAAAAATTAAAAAATTATACTAGGATCTTCTAGATCTTCATAGGGTATATAAAAAATAAGTTTATCTTATTTGTGACAAACTGAAAATTTGATAATGTGAATATATCATAATCATAATAAATTACACATTTTCAGTGCAATAATGAATGCAGAGGTGCCGCCAGGTGAAGTACCCCTGCCAATGTCTCCGGCTATTAACAGCACATCAGCTTTGGATGAAGCTATGGCTAAAACACTAGCATCTATAGACCCCGGCCTTACAACATCTATACCTATCCCTGAGGAAAGTAAGTTTAAATGATTTTAATACTGGTTTGTGATTTTATAGAAAAAAATACAGACAAATATAGAACCTCCTCCTTTTTTGAAGTCGTTTAATATATTTATTCCATTTTTAAATGCTTTTAAATATGTTTTTGTTGGCATTAAAGGGCATAAATATTCCATAAACAAGGGAAACTTCATTCTACAGTTGACCCCCGTTAGTCCGACAAACATTTTGCAGGGCATTGTCGAATTATCGAATTCGTCGGATGATAGAGTACTGCCTAAGACCCCCTATAGTTCAGATTTTTTTACAAAAGAGTACCTTGTAATCCGACAAACTACAGATTCAATGATAAGATTATTTACATATGTACTTGTACTCTGAAGTACAAATTCAAATTCCAACTAAGCAATCAGAAGCAAAACAATACCCTACGCGTCGAGCACAATATGTAGTGATGGTGCGTACAAGTTGTAACTTGTTCAATCATGCATTAGCAAATACAAAATATGTATTCAATAATAAATTATAGATCATGTCGGATTACAGGGGGTGTCGGATTAGACAAGGGCCGGATTACCGGGGGTCCACTGTATTTGTTAGTGTGTTTTAACTTTTTTATATAGTCATAACATGATTAAGTCTTATGTTTTCAAATGATTAAGTTATAAAATTCATAATCATATATTATATTGATTATATATTCTTCTATCAAAAACTAGTGTATGTGATTTTCTAAAATATAAGTAAGTTGTATATAAAAACGTTTGTAAAGATAGTGACTAATATTTTCTTTATAATCACAGTAAAACCTGAGGAAATAGCTGCACCGCCACAACCAAATGGGGCTGAGGCTGAACCAACTCCTGAAACACTGTACAAAGATAAGAAGGAAGCTATTGAAGCTTTCAAGGAGCTGCTCAAAGAAAGGGTTAGGCATTTTGTACATGATACATATAATAAAATTACACTTAGTTCACATATTTTACTCAAGAAGGTTTCCCTTTTTATTTATTCATTTATATACTCTTTATTGCACACCAATATATACAAAAATAATAGGAGTAAAACAAAAACAAAGAAAAGAAAAATGTACAATAGGCAGCCTTATCCCTAAAACAGTGATCTCTTCCAGGCAACCTTTGATAGAGGAGAGAGGTAGGATGGTAGAGGTGTACAAATTATTTAATACATAAAAAAAATAGATACAATACATATATGTATATATACGATACATAAATAAATATTCAATAAATATGTAATTATGTAATAATATAATATACATACACATTATAAAGATATACATTTACATACTATAAATACTTACATAATAAATAAAATATTTAATAGCAGTATTTCTTCATGAAGCAAGATAGTGTTCTTTTATCATTTTTTAAAAGAAGTAATAGTTGGTGCATGTCTTGCTTTTAGTGGAAGAGAGTTCCAGAGACAAATTGAATGGACTGTAAATGAGTTGCTATAAAAAGATCTTGTATGGGGTGGTATTTTTAAAACTAAATTCTCTTCAGAACAAAGATTATGGCTATGTGAAGAACTAAGAAATTGAAAACGTTCTTTTAGATATGAAGGAGAACTTGTTATCTGCAATTATTTTCAACTAGTTCCTTGTCACAATTTTACTTATTAAAGTAACAAAACAGCAGCTAATTGAGACAAAATTTACTATTACAATAACAGAGTTATGAAATTAAATATCTTAACACTAATATAACTTTTTGACTTAAATTGTCTTTCAATAAAATAATAAATTAAACCAATAATAAGTAAAGACTTGGATTCTAAAAAAAAAGAATTGTCACTTTAGATTTACCATGATTAAAATTTTATTGTGATTTTATTCATGACTCTAATATATTATTAAAATTCTTGTTAGTTCAGAAATAGAAATATTATTAATTTTTTATTTATATTTATTTTCAGAATGTACCTTCCAATGCTACTTGGGAGCAATGTGTCAAGATTATTTCAAAAGATCCAAGATATGTTACCTTCAAGAAATTAAATGAAAAGAAACAAGCATTCAATGCTTATAAGACACAGAAACTTAAAGACGAGAGGGAGGAACAAAGGTATGATTTAAATTATTAAAATTATATATACAGATTTTTTTTTAATATAAGCCATTTCTTGATATAAATATCAGAATTTAAAGTCATAATAATTATTTATTTTATTGTAAAATTTATACTTTTGTTTATAAGTTTCTCATTATTTAAATGTTTGACATGTTTACAGATTAAAAACAAAAAAGAATCGGGAGAATTTGGAGGAGTTCTTATTGAGTTGTGATCGTGTGACGTCACTCACAAAGTATTATAAGTGCGAGGAAATGTTTAATAATCTAGAGGTATGTTATACATGTAGGATATTTATACATACACACACAGACATAAACTCTCTTCTACCTGGCAATTTCCCAGCTTTAGCCAGGGTCTTACATGTAGTAAATAGTTTTGGCTAATTGTTTTTACGACCGGCCGCCTGCCTGACATCAACCCTCTTTGCGAATGCTATAATCAGTGATGTCTTAATACTGTTAGAAAGTACATATGACTCGGAAAAATCACATTGGTACTTGCCAGGATCAAAGCCGCGCCCTCATGCATGCATTTTAACCACTAGGCCACCAATGACTCACACACGGACAAACACACACATTATATATATATACATATATATCCTATATGGCAGGTAATATGTATGTATTCCCTTTTTATATCTTTTTTAATGAACAATATTTATATAAAGATTTGGCGATGTGTTCCTGATTCCGATAGAAGAGATATTTATGAAGACTGCATCTTCACGATAGCCAAACGTGAGAAAGAAGAGGCGAAGGCCTTAAAGAAACGGAATATGAAAATTTTAGCTCAAGTAAGTAAGAAATTAGTGAAAAATTATCATTTATTCATAGGTATATAATTTTTTATTCATATAGATGTAATAGAGGTGATAAATTTGTAATTTTTTAATTTTAAGAACAACTTGTTAAGTGTTCGATAAAAAAATAATTTTATATAACATTTGTCATACGATAATATTTCTAGGTTTTAGAAAACATGAATGAAATAAGTTATAACAGTACTTGGAGTGAAGCTCAAGTGTTATTACTCGAGAATGCTGCTTTTAAAAACGACGTTAGTCTACTGGGTATGGACAAAGAAGACGCTTTAATAGGTGAGTGGCTCTTAACAAGAATCCCATACAATCTTCTTCCTGGCAATTTCCCAGCTTTAGCCAGGGTCTGCCAGAATCCGTTTATGATAGTAAAGTCTAGCTGTGATCTAGTAAATACAGCTTGAATATGGGCTGGCTCGACCGAGGAAGTACCACCCTTCATAGAAAATCGGCGTGAAGTAGCCTTTAATGGCGTTTCGTCCGATGAGTGAGAGAGACGGTTGCCCTTTTCCTTTCCCACCCTTTAATCTCCTAACATGATAATCAAGATCGGCAATGCATTCGCAACATTCTTTATATTGTAGATGTCCATGGGAGAATGTGACTACCTTCAATCAAGTAGGCCACCTGCTCGTTTGCTACCATTCTTATATATACAATGTTTATGTTTCGTTTGTTGAACAGTATTCGAGCAACACATAAGAAATATGGAAGCTGAATACTTACAAGAAAGAGAACAAGTTAAGAAGAGAAATAAACGACAGCAGAGGAAGAACAGAGATAACTTTCTGGTATGAATATTATTATGTATATTTATATAAAATTCAATCAAGTAGTGATTAATAGATTTTGTTCTTAAAGAAGTGTATTATAAAACTATATTAAATTCGTAGTATGTATTGTGCTAAGTAGCAAGACTGAATGATATAGCCTAATATAATAAAGTGAACTACCTACATTACACCTAACATCATATTTTTATTTAACATAAGCAACCAAGTTTAACTAATTCACAACAAAAAGTTATTAAAATAAAATTAATATTTTCGGATGTACTACGCGTTATTTATTATTTAAAATTACGTACTCCCGACGTTTCCCGTGATTACTTAATAAATGATAAACTTATAATATTCGTGTCATTTAAGTTCTCCCGGAAGTCTTACATCATTAAGAAGTTATTGTATATCTTGCAGGCATTATTGGACAGTCTTCACGAAGAAGGGAAGTTAACGTCAATGTCTCTTTGGGTGGAGCTGTACCCAGTCATATCAGCTGATACAAGATTTTCTGCTATGCTGGGTGAATAGTTTATTGTTTATATAATACAGTCAAGTTCATATTTAGGGAATTTTGAATTTTATCACCCACAATTTAAATAGACCTTATTAATTTCTTGTACACCATTCAGATCTAATTAAAGTAAATTCTTATAAAAACTAATTATATATTTCATATTATGGCTTTAATATTGTTTTTTTAAATAATATTTTCTCATATAGAAAGTATATTAAAATCAAATACAAACAAATAACAAATCATTAAAAGGTTTTTCTGATTCCATCATCTAACTTTCTACATATCTTTGTAGCTATAATAATATAATTGTATTACTTTACTATATGTTTCAGGACAAAATGGTTCAACACCACTGGATCTATTCAAGTTCTATGTAGAGAACCTCAAGGCGAGGTTCCACGATGAGAAGAAGATCATCAAGGAGATCTTGAAGGAGAAGGAGTTTGAAGTGAAGCCGACCACCACCTTTGAGGAGTTCGCTACCGTAGTGTGTGAGGACAGCAAGTCAGCGTCGCTGGACGCCGGGAACGTTAAACTTACTTACAACTCCTTACTTGAAAAGGTATTTTATATTAATAACAATAATTAATAGTTTCCTCTGAGTATGCGATTATTTTATATTTTGACTGCAGTTTAGTCTGTTGTCACAGAGGTCAACTTTAACTATAATGTTTCCTCTACATTAGGGCCCGTTCAAGTATTACGTAAGCACTATGGAGGGGTGGGGAGTCTTTGCTTTGATTATTTTGAATGACATGGGGGTAGGGGAGTCTAGGTATTGATTACGTCATCGGTAGTTATTTACTTTTTAATCGTCACATTGAGAAGATCCATAAATAAATATAATTATATTTTTTCTGGATTTATATAGAGAAAACAATACAATATGTAATTGAAAATGTTTACGTAAGTATGGGGGGAGAGGGTAAGAGTTTTGATTACTTTTGCTGACAAGGAGGATGCTGGGGTAAATAATTGTAATAAATCTGTTTAATACTTGAATAATAATACTTGAACGACCCTTATCTCTACTTTGGAGTTTAGTTCCTTCAAACCATAGATGGAGCTATTTGATGTCATCTTTCGACTTGATATTTTATTGTAATGTTTTTATTGCTTTCGAAACACCTTTTTAGAAAATTGTCATCGTCTAATAATTGAGAATAAATGTGATATTTTTCTTTCTTCTATCTAGGATATACACTAATATCTGGTATCATAGCATTTCATTTAGTACCACCATAATTCAAAAAACACTTTCAATTATTATTATTGTTTTCCATAGCGCCGAAAAATATATGAAAGCTATAATATCTTAAATGTAATTATTGTGTAAGAAGAGTCATTCTATTTCTCTTTATAATACAATTTATAATAAAATTTCACCATGTTTAAGGCTGAAGCGAAGAACAAAGAGAAATTGAAGGAAGAATCCAAGGCTCAGAAGAAAATTGAGAGCGCTTTCAAGTGGGTCTTGAGCGAGGCTCGACTGGACCCGGCACTATCATGGAGTGAGGCGAAGGAAAAGATAGATTTAAACGCTCCGGAGATAGTCGCTGTACAAGATGAGAACGAACGAGAGAGAATATACATGGTGAGAAATGGAAATGGTTGTATAATAAACAAATTCCTATAGAGATTCATATATAATGGTAATGTATTTAGTTAAGATTCCTTGTTTGATCTAATAGCTGATCTCACACACACATTACTCACTTTCAAAAATGTTGTGTATACAAGGGGGTTATATAATTAAAACCACACCGTATACTGATCTAGTGAAAGTATATTTGTGATCAACTAATAACAAAACAATAGTAAAAACATGAATGATCTTAAGGTAATCGGTTCGTACATTTAATACCGCGATCTGTCTCGGATGCAACGCCATCTCGTTCTCACCTAGGTGAACTATTTATTTTTATTGATATATTGCGTTGAACATTCCTTTAAACTCTAACCTGAGGTTGACGCTGGCTCATTAACTTCTATACATACAGTTATGAATTATTTATTTATGTACCAAAAAGAAAAAATTGTTACAATTAAAGTATTATAAAAGAAATGTGATGTACAAAGGATAACTTATCTTTTAAAAGAGATTTCTACCAGAATTATGATATGCTGTAGTGGGCATGTTTCTAGTATGATCATAGTATGTTACGTTGTTGGTAGAGTCTTTTAATAATATATATACTGTTGTTAGTTGTAATATTCTTAAAAATGTATGTATTGTAAATCTCGTATTGTTTATTTTGCGATTATCTTAAAATTACAGTTGATGTCCTGGAATGACAAAAAATAAAAATTTTTTCAATTTCAGTTTCGCTAATGGTCATTTGTGTTTTGTCTTCGGTAATAAGCATTGGATACATCTCTAATTTCTAAAATTAATTATCCTCATGACATTGTCCTTCATTAATTTAATACAAATGTTTATATTTAATTTATCTAGTATATATGTATGTTTGTTATTAATTTTAATTTATTTTTGTTTTTGTTCAGGACTATCAACACGAGCAAGAGGAGAGTTGTATGCATTACCATCATCCAAAGCCGAGGAAATCGAAGAAATCCAAGAAGAAGAAGCAACGGTCAAGATCACCGTCTATAGTGAGCTTAAAGGTATTGTTATAATGGACAATATATTATCCCTACTTCCCTACTAATATTATGAATGCGAAAGTAACTCTGTCTATCTGTCTGTTACGCTTTCACGCCTAAACCACTGAACTGATTGTAATGAAATTCGGTACAGAGATAGAGTTGACCTCGAGAAAGAACATAGGATAGTTTTTATCCCAGACTTTTGAAAGCTTCTCTTGGAAATGCGATATAACCGAACTCGACGCGGGCGAAGCTGCGGGCGGAAAGCTAGTCCTGTATATTGTTATGACAACTGCATGGATACAAACCTTAATGGAATTTTTGGTTTTGAATTTCAGTACTTAATTACTTATCCGGTTTGCCTCTGTACCAGACTCAGTGGAGATAAGAATAAAAATGACTAATATATTATGTTCATTGTATTTATGATTATGGTATCTCAAGTTTTTTTAGTCTATCTATCGCATGCCGCATTACAAGTGATTGCGAATTAGGTTCAATGTGTTTGACACTTATCGAAGTAACCAAAACAAATAAGGCGGCATCACATCCTGTTATCAGCTGATCTAAGCTAAATATTTTTAAAAAAGTAATTAAAGTATTCTCTATTTTATAAATCGCTCAATAAATATAATTTAGAAGTCATTTTACCGAGTTAAATAATTTAAACCCTAATTATTTTTTCAGCCATCTCGTTCCCGTTCCGTTTCCGAGACTCGTTTGTCCTCCGGGACCGCCTCGCCTTCGGACGAGGAGCGTAAGAATAAGAAGACGAAGAAGAAACATCGCAAGCATTCACCGCCGGTAATAGATTTATACAATGTCTTAAATACAGGCTATGTAGTGTCAATGGAACATTAAATTCATTGGGAGATTTATCTTAGTTTCATATTATATGTTATAAGACAATGTAGAATGTAGATAGATTTCTATGTTAGAGCAATATTTTCGCAAGTACATCTGGAATTAATGTTTATATTTAAGGATTTATGTCGGCCATAAATAAAATTATTAATAATAAAATTATATTGTGAATATTTTATATGACTAACAATATTAATCAAGATTATTTATTACGTGTTTATTTTGGTATTTTATGATCGTAAATTAAAAATTAAAATTCATATAGAAATCTCCTACGCCCGAGGAGGGAGGTATCACAGACGAGGAACCTGCGAAGCACAGGAGTAAGAAAACAAAGAGAAGCGCCCCGAGCTCACCCGACCAGCCTGAACCACCGCACAGACCTAAGAAGAAGAAAGAAAAACGGGACAAGAAGGACAGGTGAAGACGGGGGCTGTACCGAGTACACGACATGTAGCAACCAGCATATGGGATAATAAAACAAACATCTTAACATCGACGAAACGCTTTTTATTCAACCTCGTAACGATGCGTTTACATGTGAGCTGCGTTTACAGAATTAACCAACATTTAAATCTAGTAAATCAAATCTATTAGTTTGTCAGTATATTTTTGCATTTACTTGAAAACGCATCGTTGTCTAACATGTTATAATTAAGTCTAAACGGACTAGAACATGAGTGTGTGACGCCAGGTCGGCGGCGTGTCCCGGCACGGCGGTGGCGGGAGGCGCGGCGGTGACGTCATCGGGCGCCGGCGCCGTGTGGAGCGACGCCGAGCTGGAGTCCCGGCGCGCCGCCCTCCTCGCGCAGCTGCACGAGCACGAGGCCGACTGACGCCGCGTCACGCACGTGCACATCTTCAACCGCTACCCGCCCGCCCGCCGCCACGCACACTGCCCGCTCAGCCCGCACAGCCCGCTGCCGGCCGCCATCTGCGTGCGTCACTACCCGCCCCTCTCCCCGCCAGCCCGGCCACCCTCGCCCCGCTCCCCGCCGCCGCCCTCGCCCCGCTCCCCGCGCTCCCCCCGCTCGCCGCCGGTCGAAGTCGCTGCTCGTGCCAGGACGCCGGGCGTGAGGTCCAGATGTTCCTCCGCCGCTCCCGCCACGCCGCCATACTGCGGCGAGTCCTCGCAGACGAGGCGATCCATAGATAGAATAGACTTTACTAAATTCGTGTACAAGAACCGTTCACCGAGCACGCCGCCGAGCTCGCCGTGTTGTGATCGAGCCGAGGAGCTGTCTAACGCGACCCCGCCGTCGAGACCGCCCAGCCCTCCCAGCCCGCTGTCTCTGTCGGAGGACTGCACCAAACAACCTCTCATATCGCCGATGCCGGACACCGAATCTGAGACGTCGAATTTGTAAACGAAGAATATATATCACATGCAATATTACAAGTATTAATATACGTTTGATATTTATCACTTATAAAATTAATACATGTTCGCATATATACTTTATTAATAAACACATAATGATTATTGTAGCCACTTATCACATATACGGACACTCGTACTTTTTCCTTTCTTCTGATACATTATATGATTGTATATCACATATTATATTTTATATAATACGATGTTCGAGTCGAGGCATCATTTAGATTTTGCGATGTAGCCATTATATACTGTATAATCATTTCGAAGATTTACATAACTTTCAGATATTGTAATCGTTTCGTAACCGGTAGCTTGGTAAGGATACATTCAATTCGTAACATTATATACAAGTAGTTCGGTGTTAATAATTATTCCATGTAATCGCTGTTCTTTCAATTTAACTCAGTGTCGTACACAATGGTAAATATATGCTCTGAAAATAAACGCCATTAGCCATTTCATGATACGGAGCGGGTATCAAATACATTTATGACATTCTATAAATTATGTCAAACGATCTTTTTAATAAAATACTTTTGAAATACATGTAGATACCAAATATAACTTTGTTTTTTTCTACTCTATCCTCACTTGATATCCTTTTGTGCTGTTTTGTATTTTTTCTAATAATTATGATTTTTGGCAATTTTACGTGAACTAGTTTAAATAACTCGATATTTAAAGCTTTTGAGAAGCGAAAATAATTGCACGCAAGCGTTCAGTTGCGATACGATATTTAGCATACGTTAAAATATTATATAATCGACTAGCTATCAATTATTATTATAATAGATCATATATCATTTGGGTGCCATTTGTCTTGTATGGTTGGTATCTAAAACCGTGGTTTCAAAAAATCTCTTTGTGATCGTTTTAAGTATGTATACTGCTTTAGGCCGTCGCCTAAGACCTTGAAAAAAAAATTAGAACTGACAATACAAACAGAAAGTTTGCAAAAACGAGGTCCCTATCGGAATATCTAGAGCCTACTCTAGCAGGTAATTGTGTCAAAGACTTAAAAGCTAATAGCAACAGCCAAGGCGAAAAGATCAGTGTTAGTTATTATTTTTAACATATCTAAATGTTATACTATTATAGAATGGCGTTACAGCTTTAAGACTATCTACAAATCTTTATAAAATAATTATAATTTCTCTTATACTTCACATTTCTATGACACAAATAAATGTTATGAATTTATTTTATATTATTGTGAGTATAATTTCCAACCATTCATGGCAATTTACTAGATTTTACTTTGAAATCAGAATTACTTTTTATCAGTCATTTTAGTTTGATTTATATGTAGCATCGATTGAAGAAGGATTATCAAAAACTACAAAAACATATAACGTTACAGTTTATTAAATTTTGCTGCATAACAAATAAATTCATTAAGACGATAACATAATGGATATATAAGGCTATTAAATACAATAATATAAAAATATAAATACATTTTTTTTAACTATAAGGCATTGTGTATGTACATGAATTAGACATAAATCTTATCAGAGTTCATTTTATATAAAGAAAAAAATAATGCAATCATATAACAGTCAACGCTCAACAATTTGTAGCAGAATTTATTTAAAAAATATTCTAGCACTTGTTAAACTGTAATAAAGTAGTTTGTATTCTATCTCAAGTGTTTTTAGCTTCTTCTCAGTGAGAGCCAATGCTTGCTGTAGCTGCAATGTCCCCTTACTGTTTTGTTCATTAATTATTTCTCTCTTCTTTTTAATATGATTCCATACAGAGTCAAACCAATGCAGTGATTCGAATGATGAATCCTAAAAGCATACATAACATAGTCATATAAATTTCTTCCTGATATAAAAAAAGCAATGAATAAATATATCTTTACAGGGAGTAAATTTTCTTAAAAGAAAAATGTATTTCCAGTGTTTAATGTAAGATAAAATTATGTTTTAAATAATGTCAAATCGTGGATAAATTGATACTTACTTGGTCTAGTAGCTTCAATATATAAGCTATGCCCATAGCAAAACCATCGTCAGTGAAAGAAGCCCCCACTTTGTTCTTCTTGGACATTTTGTCTTTGGATAATATCATGTGTTCAACGAAATTAAGTGTGAGAGGCGGAACAATGATGAAGAAATTCTTGAGATGAACATTCTTTGGATTTCTAAAAACGGGTGCAAAAACTTCTACGAGAAGTTTAAAATATTCAGTGCCTTGTATGAAATTAGATATGAGACCATTAATATTGTCATCTAAATTTTCAGCTGTTTGTAGAGTTTTTTCATCAAAGAGGTTCTCCTCGCATAATTTTTTAAAATATTTTGGTTCAAGGTCTGGTAGGAACGTAGTCGCGTCGCAGCAACAATGGCGGCCACCGGACCGAATCATTCGCACATAGCCCATAGCATTTCCGATCTGACTGATCAGATCCCTGAATAAATCTAGATAACTTTGACCATCTTCAGCGACCCCCAAAACTTTTATTCCTTTATTGAATTTTTCAGCATTTTTATATAAGTATACATTCCCCATATCCGTGGATGTCTCTTTGAAATTCCTCAAATCTTTAACTAGACGCGACTTGATCTGTTCGTCGTACATGAACTGGGAGAAAGTGAAGAATTTGTTCTTCAGGAATTGGTAGGTGAAGTTGACGGTGGTGTTCATGATGCCAGTACCATGAGTCCTGATAGAATTAGCTACGTGTCTAATATTGATGGACTTGAGGTGTTTGTTATTGCTACTTTTCTCGATGAAGATTTGATTATTTAGATTGTATTGATATCTCGACACGAAAATGTGTATATTTCGCATGATTTCCAATACATCCAAACCCTGCTCTAAGGTTTGCGTCGGTAAATTGTCACTGATCGTCGTGATATTGAATTTAAATTTCGCCATTTGTCGCATTTCTCCATATGTTTTCCAATCTGATAACACAACGGTTGTTAGATTGTAATAGGTTTTCGATAAATATTGTTCCACAGATGGAATGACTGACATATAAATGTTATAAAGCCGTATATTGTCCAAGAGAAGTAAGGTCTTCTTTAGCATATCAAACGTCAAAGGATTTATTACATCCAGTTGCAAGTGAGAATGGATGTGCAAGCGCAGATTCGTTTCAATATTTTGACTGAAATGATCTAAGACGTGGTCTTCGATCATCTTTTTCAGCTTGTCCCTGAATTCGAGAGATTTATCGAGACCAAAGTAAGCATCTGTTTCTTGCAGAAAACTAATAGAATCCTCCAAGGCCATAAGGAAATACTTTAACTTCACAGTATTTATCTGTTGGCTGAAGTTCTGCTCGAAATAAAGCGGAATTATATTTTGATGCCACAACAGCCATGAACAGTTGCAGTATTGAGCCATGTTCTTTGTGAAATTTGAGAGGATCTGTATTTTTTCTAGAAGTTTTCCTAGCCTTATGGAACTGTCTTCAATGAAAGTTGTGTCGGAGATAAAACTGATAGCTATATTCGTGGCTATGTTACGTTCTAACGTAGCCGCACCTTTAATAGCTTGCTCAGCTATCACGACGCAAGTTAGCTCGTCTAATCTTTTGTTAGCATATTTTTTGTCACTCATCAAGGTCTTCTTTGTCTCAAAAATAGACGATGCAGCTTGAAATATTAAATGTTGGACGATCATTGTAATCGAATTGATTATTTGATTGTAGTTTCTGGTGACCGTGTTCCACAAACTCTTTATTAGTTCCATCACTTCAAAGATATTCATGAGCATATTCTTTGATAGTGGTATACCAAGTGCTAGGTGTAAATTAACGAAAGACAAAACTGAATAGTTTATACTCGCAGCTAGATCAAGACCGTCTAGGAGTGTTTTTGCATGTACTGTCATATCAGCGGCACTAAGTTTGTTATTGCTCGCGAAAATATCCTCAACCATCAATGTCCACTGAGAGCAAATATTTTGGAGAGTCACTATATCTTTAGTTAAATTTGCTTTTTTCGCGTTTGTATGTGCTTGGCGTGTCTTAAGCATTGTTTGGGATAGCTTATTGTAGTTGCTGTAGACCGATGGTACATACCTCTGGAGGAATTGTTCAGGGAACCACATCACGGTCCCGCATACATAAACACTGTGTGCCTAAAAGTTGATATATGAAATTAACAATAAATTTCTTTTAAATGGCTTATATCTATGAAAATGTTAACAATACCTTTGAATTTAACTCCATCAATGTTTTAAAACACTTCTTATCATTACTGCCAAATAAATGAGAGTTCAAAGCAAACAAAGCATTTATTTTGATACATTTGTACATATTCTCACTATTGGGTTTCTCTTGTACTAATTTATCTAAATTAAATATAGCATGTTTAATGTATTGCATAAATTCTGTTGACATTTTGTTACAGTTTTGGATGTTTAAGTAATTTTTCCTCAATAGCAATAAATTATGGAGTGTTGTCTGTACTATGTCATCGTTCATTAATTTTGCCGTGATAACATCAATCGCTCCCTTCAAAGCTTGAAGTCTTTCTTCATCACAGTCTAATGCGTCAGGTTTTCCATTAAAAGTTTTCAAATTCTTGCAAAATTTATTCCAATTTGTTGCAAGTGAGCACCTTGATATGAGTAACTCAGAGATAACAAGTATTGTGAAAATTTCACCAATCTTATTGATAACAAAATGCCATTGTACACCATCTAAAATTGTGGATTAATACATTAATTAAATTTAAAAAACTTTAATAGGAAGTGAATTGTAAATGACTACTGAGTCGGAAAACTAAGTTCAAACTAAATAGAATATGTTAAAAACTGACTTACTTATATTAATATCAGTGCCATTGAATATTGTGAATATTTGGTTGAAAATATTACTTAATAATTCATTACATCGGCTGATAAATGAACTCAGCTCACATATTGATCTCATTTGTGATGAAATATCACTGTCTATGTATTCTTCATATGATGATAAAAATTTAAAATGCCTGTAAAGAACGATATACTTATTTTATTAATGTAAAAAGTGTTCTAAAAATAATTTAAAGTTAATTTAGGCATTTTTTAAATGTAAAATATATTTGTACTAACGTTTTAAAAGCTTCTGATTTAATTTGTTCTATTTCAACACATAGAGACGACAACACACTCAATATTTTGGTAATAAGAGTATTATCAGATGATACTAGATCGATCATAGATATACGTTCTGTTGAATTTAAAACTGCTTGTATTGGCAAAAAAGTTTTATTTTCTTCGGTATATTCATCTCCTAGTATTGTAATGTAATCTTGATATTGTTGTTTAAAGAATTCTCCATAACTCCTTAATACACGACCACCAGCTTCTTTTTCAGCATCACTTTTCATTATAGCTGGGTTTTACTTACTAATAGGAAAATATCAAGTCTCTTAAGTTTTTACTCGTATAACTTTTAATAAATTAAGTTGACAACTGTAAATATTAGCCTTATTTTTAGATTTTATAGACATTTCAATGTCATATGAAACTTGACATTTAAATAGATATTTTTTAAAGAAAAGGAATGGACTCTCACCCTTTGGGTAGCTATTAATTCACATCATTACTTTTATTTGTTATTTCATGTCTGTGACACAAATGAAACGGTTTTAGTATTTAATATTGGAAAAACGAATAATCTTTACAAATCTAAGCAAATATTACATGACCAAACTATGTTCGTAACAATTTTTATTTACTTTTCAGGTGTTTCATTATATAAAATTATTCTTTTATATTAAACTAGCTTTCCGCCCGCAGCTTCGCCGCGTGGAGTTCGGTTATATCGCGTTTCCAAGAGAACCTTTCAAAAGTCTGGGATAAAAACTATCCTATGTTCTTTCTCAAGGTCAACTCTATCTCTGTACCGAATTTCATTAAAATCAGTTCAGTGGTTTAGGCGTGAAAGCGTAGCAGACAGACAGACAGACAGACAGAGTTACTTTCGCATTTATAATATTAGTAGGGATTGTCTTTGACTACAAAGAAATTTTTAGGTTTGAGGATATTCTATTAAGAAATATAAAATATTGTGCATAATAAAAGCAATATGATATCAAAACAAATACTTTATTGAAACACATGTTTTTGCTTACTTAAAGATACAATTTTACCTAAAATTAGAAACTAAGAATGTACAACTGCAATATTTAATCATAATTTATAACAAAAAGTAAAATAACTACATTAAAGTTATAGCTATGTCTATATTATTGTTTCTTAAAACTTTTCAATATTGGATAAATATTATCAAATGCTTCATATATTTCTTGGCGAACTTTGGCGCCTGTAAGTACCACTTTTCCTGATACGAATATCAGTAAGACTATTCTAGGCTTCACCATACGGTAGATGAGTCCAGGAAAGAGTTCAGGTTCGTAAGAACTAAATTGTCCATGTGTTAGCACTAAGCCTTCAAGACGAATTGGAAATTTCACATCACAACTCCCAACCATGTTTTGAATTTTAAAATCCAAAAATTTCGCCTGAAACAAACATATTTTGTTGATAAATATTTATGTAAATTATGAAACAGATATGTTAAGAATAATTCAACTAACAGTAAATCCTAGCTTTTGTATAATTCTGGCATATTTTCTTGCAGCAAGACGGGAATCTTCTTCACTCTTGGCACCGGTGCAAACCATCTTGCCAGAAGAAAATATCAATGCTGTAGTTCTCGGTTCTCGTATCCTCATAATGACGGCAGCAAACCGTTTGGGGTTATATTCAGCATTGCGAGCATGTAGGGCTATCTTTTTAAGGTCTAATTTGCAATTTAGATTTACCGTGGAAACTATATTTCTGTAACAACACAATATTTTGTATGTAATACATGGCAATTAACATACATTTTAATACAAAATTTAAAAGATAATGAAGTAAAAAATTTTTGAAACTTATTCAATAAACTCACTGTAACTGTGGTAATATTCCAGGATCTGCGGAATGTGGAGTCATTGGTGTCATCGGTGCAGGACTCATTTGGTTTAGGATCTGTTGACCGGCTATACTTGACCCAGTTATAAGTGGAGACATTAAGTTTTGCTGAAACAAAATCCTTGCTTAATCTGTGTTGATTGGTGTTGTTTAGGAAATTTTACATATATGGGTAGATTTATGTCAAAGCTACAAGTTTCAAGAAAAAATATATGTATGCTTATTATTTGAATAATTTTATATTATTACCGGTGTTTGAGGTTGCATCATCTGTTGAGGTGTTGCATAGCTGGCGGTTGGAGCATACGTATGCATCGTTCTCTGAGGTGTGCCCATTATAGAGGCGCCAAAACCCACGAGCGGTGATGAACCCATTGATACCAAGGAATGCTGTTGTTGTTGCTGCTGCTGCTGTTGTTGTTGCTGCTGTTGTTGTTGCTGTTGCATAGCATTTGGTAAAATTTGTTGATCTTCTTCAGGTTGGTGCAAAGGAGTACCAATACCTGGTATGTTGTATGGACTTGGAAGCATTTGATCCATCTTAATGTCTTGACAATATTTTCTGGCTCAACTCTATAAATTTCTTTAAACAACTTAAACTTATTAACAAATAAAACTTCAATTTAGTATTCTAGCTGTAAATGGCGGAAAAACAATATTTATAAAATTCATACACCGTGTTGTGTCAAGTTTGTAACGTTTGTCAGTTGTCACTTGTCACATAAGTGACAAATATCAGAGAGGAACGTTGCTATTACCATATCCAAGTTTTTGGGACAAATTATTTTTCTAATTTATTTTTGTTGAATTATTATTTTTATAAGTTGGTCAAAATCCCTATAATTTATAAAGGATCTATCCAAAGTTTTTTTATATCAAAATTATGTTATACAATGTTAGACGACAATTTAAGATGTCGTTGTCACTGGAAAGTTGTCAGAGATTGGTGTACAGAGATTCCACGCTTTACATTTTGTAAAAGTAATAACTTTAATTCTGTTGATACATAAGAGTATTTTAAATTGGAAAAATATTTTGTTTTCAAAATGGCAGAAACAATGAGACAAACTGTGGCTTCGATTTTGAAAAGCATCGAGAGATATAACCCAGCCAATCTACAGACACTCGAACGATACGTTGAGTTGCAATCGAGAGAGAATACATACGATTTAGAAGCTAATTTAGCGGTTCTGAAACTTTATCAGTTCAATCCAGAAAGGTTCAACCCTGACATAACGTGCCAGATACTTTTGAAGGCACTTACAAATTTCCCTCACACTGACTTCACATTGTGCAAGTGCCTGCTTTTAGAATCTGTAGTAAGTTCGAAAAACACTTTAGCAGTTCATATTTCATGAGTTATGTTATAGAAATCCGTAATAGTGTATAAATTTGACTTTTCCAGGTGGAAAACGAGACCATTTCCCAAATAAAGTATCTGGCTGATATTCTTGAGCAATGTGACTTTGCCCAGTTTTGGAACAGAGTACACCAAATGCCAGAACTGTGTAACCGTATCAGCAGCTTCCACGACTCCATTCGCAAGTTCGTCTGTCATGTTGTTGGTATTACTTTCCAGACTATCGACAAGAATAACCTCGCTAACCTATTAGGAGGAATTGATGGTAAATGTTATGACAAATTTCTATATTAAGTATTAAGTATTACATATCAATAATATTACTCATTAATTGTATATTGGAATCTACTTCAAAATGTTTTGTTACCTTTATTTTGTGTACCAGCTTGTTTATTTATAATATGTTTTTTTCAAGTACTTTATTACAATAAAGATAGATTTAAAACTTAAAAATAGTATGGCTAATGTTATTTGTTATATTTTTAGATGTTACCCTCAAGCACTGGGTTAAGAAATATGGTTGGAAGGATGAGGGTAACCTTATCTTCATCGCCAATCAAGATGAAAACATCAAGACTAAGAACATTACAGAGAAAATTGAATTCGATCATCTCGCTCCGTTAATGGCAATTTTGTAATTTTTATATCTTATATTTCAATAAAAATAAGATTTGATTAAGTTTTTTTCTCTTTTCATCAATTGAATGTGAGTTATGTAAGTTTGTGATAACATAATATGCAATACCTCATTGTGTTATGTTACAAAAAATATTATGCAATTATTGTGGTTCTAAAGCTGAGGTTTTTTACTTATTATTTATTTGGTAAACTAAATGCACTTTTATTTTGATGAAAGGCTTGAACCATTAACAGAGTCAATGGTTTATAAAGTAATTTTTTGCTATTTAAACAAGCATTGAATATAAACATATAATAATAGTAAAATGTTGAACTAATACCTCAAAGAAAAAAAAAAGATTTTGCAACGAAATATCTGACTCAGAAAGATTATTATTTTACATTATTCACAATAATGTTCATACATTCTAAACCCTGATACACACAGATGAATTTTCAACATTTGATGTTGATGTCTATGTGTATATTTGTCCATGGCATTGTTGAGCTCAGATGGATTAACTGGTTTTTCCATTTTATAGTCAGTTTTCTTGGAGTGACTTTTATATATATACTATATTTTGTTTATATCTGTCCATCAGTGTTGTATCAGTAGTTTTCAAATCGAATTTACCTATTTTCACTTATGATTAGTGGATTAAGTGTCTTACAAATGTCAGTTTAGTTGTGAAGTTGCATGCTCTTAGTGGATCTTTAAAATTTTGTAGAATTTTATTAATATCAAAATAAAATAAAGAAAATATCAAAAACCATTTATTAACAAGAAATAAAAAAGTCCATCATTGATTTTTTACATTTACAAGTTAAAAATATGGATAAAGTATAAAATATATGTACTATATAATATATCACATTGAAATAAAATTGTTTAAGCTTTTTTCTCATGTTTATATCCAAATTCTTTACCACCTTCATGACCTTCCTTTTTCCCGTGGTCATGATGATGCGCGTGATGCTCTTCGTGTCCATGATGACCCTTATGACCTTTATGGTCTTCATCATAGTGCCCTTTGTCGTGTTTGCCGTGCTTACCATGATGTTTCTCATGGTGACCTTTTTCATGATGTCCCCCCTTTTTGTGATGTCCCTCTTTCTTGTCGTGATGGCCATGGAAGTCACCGTGCTTATGGTGATTGCCACCTTTGTGGAAGTCATCATAGAACTTATGTTCCTTATGATATTCGTCTTTATGGGATTTGTGGTGGAAGCCAGTTGTTTTGGAACCCTTCTTATGACCTTTCTTGTGGCCAAACTTTCCACCCTTGTGTCCGTGTTCGGCCTCATGATGTTCTCCGTGGTGATCATCTTCATCGTGATGCTTTTTCTTGTGTCCCCCATGTTCTTCATGATGACCTTCGTGATGATGTTTCTCATGATCGCCGTGATCACCTTTATCGTGATGATGGTGGGATTTATAACCTTTGTCTCCTTTCTCACCGTCTTCTTTATGGTGATGTGCGTGGTGTTCATGGCCACCGCCTTCTTCTTTGTGGCTATCTTTACTCTTAGCTTCTTTGTGTTCGGTTCCTGCTGGTGCCTGATCTAATTGTTTTTCAGGTGCCACATCCTCTGTTTTCACATGACGAGCATATGTCAGAGTAAATGCGCATATTATTAAAGCTATAATTAGTATTCCCCTCATGGCTACTGAAATAATACATAACTAATTAGTTTAAGTTTAATGACAAACCTTTATAATTGTTATATATCAGAAATTATAACTTACCAATTGTCGTAGCCGCTTAGCGGACTAAATTTACAATGTTGTAAACGGTCTAAGTATTTGAATTTATAGATAACAGCGCTTTCATCTGTTGTCGATTGCAAAGTGATCTTTAGCAATCATATTGCTGTATATTTCTGGACGAGTGATTCCGTTGGCTTGATGACGACATCATTAGTTTTCGGTTTAACTCAATTAGTTCCGTTTCGATTATGAATAAAATATAGTAAATATTGTTTTCATGTTAAATAATAATGCAATGTAATAAAAATATTCAGCATCATAAGGATTTAATTCATTTATTTACAATATATGTGAAGTATACAAAATAAGAAAAATATATGATTAAATTAATGTTATCAGTGCTTTCCATGATGGAATCCCCAGTGCTTGTGGTCTTCGTGACCGCCTTTCTTTCCATGGTCGTGGTGATGGTGATGATGTTCTTCATGTCCGTGGTGACCTTTATGTCCCTTGTGGTCTTCATCATAGTGATGTTTATCATGGTGTCCCTTCTTGCCATAGTGATGTTCGTGGTGTCCGGAATCGTGATGTCCCCCCTTCTTGTGGTGGCCACCGTGGTCTTCATGGTGTCCGTGATGTTTGCCATGTTTATGATGTTTGCCTTCCTTGTGATGATCATCGTAAAAGTGATGGTCTTTATGATACTCGTCCTTATGGTATTTCTTATGGTAACCCTCAGTTTCTTCACCTTTATCGTGATGCTTCTTATGGTGGTGTTTGCCTCCTTTATGGTGATGGCCATGTTCGTGATGGTGTCCATGATGATCATCTTCATCCCAATGCTTCTTGTGTCCACCGCCATGTTCGTGATGATGACCAGAATGATGATGTTTATGATGATCCCCATGTTCGCCCTTATGATGGTGGTGGTGACCTTTATGGCCTTTATGTCCTTTTTCTCCGTGTTCATGGTGATGGTGAGCGTGGTGCTCTTTACCACCGCCTTCCTCGTGATGATGTCCTTTGTGATGGCTTGCTGCTGTCTCTAAATCATTTTCTTTCTGTCCGATCTCTCGACCCAAACAAATAACAAACAAACATCCCAACAAAGTAAGGGCGACGAGCGTCCTCATCGTGACGGCTCTACTGAATGTTAAACTTGATGGTTTCACCAATGGGATTGTTCTGGCCTACCGTTGAAATGAGAGGTTATTTATATCAAATATTGAAGTTGCTGTTGCGGCTGGTGAAATTTCCGGACAAGGACGACCGTTACGGCTTTGTTTCTTGCGACATTATATAATTTTCTATGAGTTACAATTTTATTTGAAAAAAATGCAAATTATTTATTTGGATACTAATCTTTTACTAGAAGGAAATACAATAGTCAATTAAATAATATTTGATATTTGTTTCATAATTATGTATAAATATATGTTACCAAAGTATTTCTGAACGTATATATCTACTTAATTATTAATATGTATAGACTATACATGTTATTATGAATATCATCTACAATTAAGTTTTATATTCTTAAACATATTTTCACTGTAAATAGAATATAGTCCATTAATTAATTAATTAATAACTGAATTATGCACTAAAATCAAGTCTCTTGGCCTTGGCCTTGTTATAACAAGTATGTATTTAGGATAGTATTTATGTTTTTAGGAATGTTAAAGATTCTAGAAACCTTACATTGTTAAATTTTTAATGAGAAGCCATTTTCATGTAAAGAAAATTATTAAATAAAAACAGGAGAAACAGCAATAATTCTCATGCGTCTGTCTTCAGAAAATAATATAAACATAATAATGCATATATAGCACCTATGGTGCAATAACGTTGTGGCGTTATTGTCATTTGTGTCGTCCTATTAATATTATTAATAAATTTTTTTTAGTCGTTAATACTATACAAATTAATAAAATGTTCAATTTTCAAAAGCAACTGAAAAAATACGTTAGATAAGTGACGTTATTGCACCGTAGCTTAGGTGCGATATGGGTAGAAGTTCTTAAGTTTTCAATAGAACAAATTAAGCTATATTAATGTTTTGCAATCGTTTCATCATCCGGCCTTTCTGTCTTGGAAAAGCGGGTACAAAAAGTTTTCGAACTATAATGTTTGCGATAATATTAACTCATCTTGAGATGTGTGAGCGAGAAGTATGAGATCACCATTTTTTAATCTAACTCATCCTCTCGTTATAACTTTTGAGCTCCAGTTTTCTAAGCACATTTGATATAAATTTCTTTGATAGGTCCTCCAATATCATCTCATGTGAAAGACGACTTTTATACTTTGTACATTTTTTTCTTAAACGAAAATGTGACGAGAACGACTTTTACCAAACAAATACTACGTGAGATGACTTTCATTGGCACATGGTCTGTAATAATATTACCGTAAATTTTAAAAGACATTATTTAGAGAATAAAAACTTCAATGTAAAATGGAAATTTTATAAGTTAAAAGCAAAAGTATCTGTCAATCTATATGAACATATTCTATTTCTTTAATTTGTTTTTGATAGTCTCAAAATGACACCAGAGCAAGATAACAGTGGACTTTTAAATTAGTAATTTTCACTTCAAATTTGTTGACTTCCATTACTTTGTCTACGTTTAATAGCGCTCCGGAGCTTTTTATTTGAATTCTTTTCAGAATAAAATAAAGAAATATTCTTAGATTTCCCTAAGAAGTAATTTAATCAGATACATAAATTTAGTATTTGTTTATTTTTAATACAAACGACTATGTACATGATTTAATTTTTTATTTTTGATCCATTTGTAACGAAGATAATATAAAATACAACTTATTTGATTTTAAAAATATTAAACTGATATTTCATATTTTTTGTTTCATTTATATAATTGACGTAATATTATTTCAGTTCTATCCTTAAGGTATATTAATAGAGAATGCATGTAATTTTTTAAGTTAACTATCCTTTTGTTGCTAGCTGTTTTGAATATGACTAACAATCAACCACCAATCAGTAGTAGTAAATAATAATTTTATTTCATAATAGAAGGTTTGAATTGAATTATTAAATACTGACATTACATAATTCATTTTAAGGGTCAAAATTTGCTATTAATGAGTGTGTAATTTCTTATTTAATTATTTTTTATTTTTACCATATTTGAACCGAATGAGTAATATGCTTAATTTCAATTATCTTATGGTGGATGAAATCGCTTATCAACTGTTAATATTCGTTCTAAAGACTAATCCTATCCTAATAGTTTTAATAAAAGGGAAAAAAGACGTGTATTATATAGAAGGAATCACTATCAGCATTTCCACAAATCTATTCAAACATAAAATGAACTATCGAGATATTTATTTGACATAAAGTATTCGAGACAGTGATCACCAGTTCAACAATTTATAGATTAATTGTAAGTATAAAAACTTAATAACATTGAAATATCTAAACGAATAAGACAATATCTGCTAATTAAATGTTCGTACCGACTCTTATACATTTTATTTATTTTTAAGTGATATGTTTACATAGTTATAAAAATTCAAAATAATGAGATATGCTGAATTGTGACAAGCAATTATAAATTAGGAGTTGTTTTTTTTTAATCTTTACTTAGGTACCTACTTTGTTATAGATATTTTTGATAACAATTTAAAAGTTTTGTAATATGTTTACCAATTAAACAAGTACGTGTACAAAATACAATGATATTAGGGAATTATGTTTAGTTTGTTTTTTTATTGCGCAATAAAAAATTGTAGAAAAAGAATTTATATAAATTATTGTTTTTAATTTCTATGAGCAAAAGCCCTCCATAATATTCCTTGATTTCAGTTTAGTTAAATTTCTAAATGTCACAATATATATTTTTATGTTATGGCTTCATTAACACTGGAATAGTGGAATATATTGCAACTATCAAAGTTTATTTGTTGGACGAATTACAATCTTGAGTACTGTGAGAAGAAAACAAGGAGTTTTTCGAATGGAATTACTTGACATTATTGTTAATATTAAAATTAAATGCAATAGTTTAATTAAACAAATTGAAAGTCAGTGGTGGCTCAGTGGTTAAAGGGCCCCCCTCTCGTCGTCGAGGGCGCGGGTTCGATCCTGGCCCGGGCAAGTACCAATGTGATTTTTCCGAATCATATGTACTTTCGAAGAATATTTAGGCATCACTGATTAATGTTGATTCCCAAAAAAAAGAGGGTTGATGCGGGCAGGTGGGCCGGTCGTAAAAAAACAAATAGCCAAAAACTATTCAAACATGTAAGGCAGACCCTGGCTATAGCTGGGAAATTGCCAGGTAGAAGAAGTTTAATTAAACAAATTAATTAGGTCAAAACTGACGTTTAATAATTTTTTTACGTCTGTCTATTTTGTATTCCAGATGTTAATATAATAAAATATTTTATGACTTTTAGTAATCTTATATGATCATTTTTTCATTATTAAATATATACTAATTAAAGGGGATGGTAATTTTCCTATGCTTGGATCTAAAATGATTTTTATCGATATTTTAGAAATTTTTACCCATATCATATATGGTATTAACCCTAGAAAGATAGTCTGCGTAAAATTAACGCATGCGTTTGCGAAATATAGCGTTCTCTTCCTAAATAGTGCGAATCTATAGCTGTGTGTTTAGGACATCTCGTTCGTCGCTGGGAGCTTCCGCATGGCACACGTGAACTTAAGGTAAGTGCAACCGATTTTGAAATAAAACGACCACATGCGTCAAAATTACGCATGATTATCTTGTATGTGACTTTTATGATTTTGACTTGTACAATTTATTTTTCTATTTTTAATGTTTTTATAACTGTATATCATTATTTATATTACTAGTTTCTTTTTATAGATATTACAGCAACGATGGGAAATAGAAACTTAGAAAAAGACCATATCCTGGCCAGTCTCATGCAAAGTGACGACGAGATTCCCTGTGACTTGTGAGTATACCGACAGTGAAGTAGCGGACCATGAGAGTGAAGATGACGTGCAGAGCGACGCAGAAGAGGCTTTTATAGATGAGTTAGAAGAAGAACAGCCAAGGTCAAGTGAAAGCATAATCTTAGATAGGCCAAGCACCACTGAACAACCAATATCAATGTTTTGTTTCGACGGACCCCTTACTCTCGTCTCATATAAATCGAAAACGGCAAGAATGATTTACTTATAATGAGTTTTGTGATGCTACTATCATTGAAGTTACTGGTAAACCAGAAATGATTATGTATTATAATCAAACAGAAGGCAGAGTAGACACACTCGACTAAATGTGTTCTCTGATGTCCTGTAGTAGGAAAACAAATTGATGGCCTATGGCTTTGTTGTATGGAATGGTAAACATTGCCTGCATAAACTCATATATAATTAATAGCCACAATAATCATTACAAAGGAAAAATTCCTCTAAGTCGTAAAAATTTCATGAAGAATCTTAGCTTGGGTCTGTCTTCTCCCCGGGGCAGTTTCTGGTACTGCTACCGGGCGCGTCCTCAGGTGGCGGATAGGGGAACGGCTCCCAGATATGGGGGTTACCGGCTAGCCGGCGTGGACCAAAACCAGTGACGACTCGGCTTGCCGGGTCGTCAAACTCGTAACCCTGTACATAGTACAGGGCCGAGGACTGCCGCCCTCAGGCGAGGGCGGGGGTCGCGTGGAAGAAAACCACTCTAAAAAATCACCTCTGGCGTCGGGAAGTGACGAATCCATCGCCCGCCGGGTAATCGGCGCAATCAGTCGCGGGGTGGGGTGGGCTTAGGTTAGGTTAGGTTTAGGTTAGGTTAGGTTAGGTTTAGGTTAGGTTAGGTTAGGTTTGGCGTCGGGAAGTGACGAATCCATCGCCCGCCGGGTAACCGGCGCAGTCAGTCACGGGGAGGGGGACCTTGGCCCTCTTTTGGGGTCTTGGTCAGGGCTGGGGGTTCAGCCCGATGAATGGAAGGTTTTTATGAATGTGGATGGATGCGGAAATGAAAGGTTTATGAATGTGGATGGATGTATGGTGATGGATGGGCTTTTACGGCCCCTAATCTTTGACTTCGGTGTTCGGTCTTGGGATGCATGGCGAGCGGGTGAGCTCGTCCTAAGAACACCACCAACAAAAAACTTATGAAATGGCGTC